AGTCAATTTTACTATATAAGTACATTAATTAAAATTCTAATCACATTTACACATATAAAATCAAAATTATTAATTTAAATTTATATTGTTATTATTAGAATATTAAATAAAAAAAATATTAAAAATAAAATTAGAATAAAAATTAAAAAGCCAAGTACAATAAACTCAATTGTTTTTAAATAAACTTATTAAATGAAAAAAAATTATTCTATTTGTTGTTTCTTATTTTTCTTAACCTTGAAATTATGTAAAAATTCACTTTAAAATTAAGAAAGTAAAAAAACCATAACAAAAAAGAAGAGGAGAAATAATTTTACATAAAACTGAATTTGTTTTTTTTTTTTCTTTTCAAAAAAAAAAAGGATGTAAAAATACATACATAAGTATAAAAACTATAAAAGGATTAAAAAATTATCCTTGCTTCTACATAGGTTGAGTAAAAAAAAAAAAACAAATTAAAAACGCGAAAAATACAAAATAAAAAAAATTCTCTTACAAAATATATATATATATATATATATATATATATATACGTAAATATGTAACATTATTTCATATTTATTAATGTACATACGCAAATATACTTGAGTATATTCGAAATATGCACAGTACAAGAAGTAGAGAAATTTTTAGTGTTGTTTTTTTCTTTCAGTTTTTTGCTTTTTCATATATATATTGCAAGAATAATGGGTGTATGCGCGTTAAAATAATGACACAAGTATAAAAAATTTTTTTTGAAGAGAAAAGAAATATATATATGTATATAAAAAAAAAACGTCAGAATCGAAAGAGGGGTTTTTGAAATAAGAAAACTAAATATAGAGAGAATTGAGAAATTTACTTTCAACAATTTTTTATATAAACTTTATAAAAGGAAAATAAAAAAAAATATCAAAAAATTAAACCAATAAAACTTGAGAAATAAATGGTTAATTAATTTTAATAATTAAAATTATCTTGCAAGTCATATAATAAAATCTATTATGCATGTAATTGTTCTTTATTGAGTTAACTATTATTAAATAGGATTCTTTTATTTATATTACACTTAAATATTGTATTTTTTCGATTTCATTTATGCAGGTATACCTATTTATTTATTTATTTTTATAATTTACTATATTTATAACGAAATATTATATTTTGAGTTCGGTCTAAATATTTTTTTTAATACAATTACTTTTTATTTTTTAATTAATAATAAAAGACAAAACAGGATAAATTCGACGCTCATTCAATTTTTTAGTTTTTAATTAAGAATGTTCTAAAATTTTTTCGAAAATTAAAAATGTTAAAATAATGTTACTAAAATAAATTTAATTACAAAATTGAATTTGCATTATTATATCCTTAAATAATTGAAATTCATATTATTAATTGAATTATAATACATATGTATATATTTTGAATTTGAAAGCTTTATAATTTTAAATTCTACTCCTAACTCCCCCTCATTTTCTTATTAAAGTCATTCGTATTATATACTACCCCGAAAGGATGTGAAAAAAGGAAAATTAAAGAGAATGAAAATGATCTAATCCATTTACTATAAAACAAAAATATTTTGAAAAGTGAAAAACATACATACTCAATATTTCATACAATAAAGAAATATATTAGTCATCGAATATGTAATATTTTGTGACGTACATACATATGAATATATTTTGTATTTCAAATACTCTATTTTATTATGAATAAATGAAATAAAACTTGGAGCAATTGTTTAAGTCTAAAAATTTAAAATAAGAATTTTCGAAACAATAAAAATAATACATAAAGTAAACAGTAAATAGGAAAATAATTACATAAGTAGGTAGTTAAGTATGCATTTTATATTTTACTTAATTTTTTGATATAAAAGTAATATAAAATATTTTTGCCTCCTTTTCTAATTGCGAAAATTAGAAATTTAATCATTTTTATTATATATAGTAACATCTTTAATATCACAAGCAAAGAAATTTTCAACAAATAACAAAATACAAATTTTAAATAGCATAACAATTAATAAAACAACATTCGTGATAACAGTCATAATCTACCTAAAACCTAATTAACATGCGTATATGTATATACAACACACAAGCATTATAACTGAAGCTAATTTCCCTCTTAAATAGTTGCATAGTTAACAAAAAAGAAAAAAATATTTCTTAATGCGGCCATTGAAATCAACATGTTAAAAATGTTTCATATAACAAATTGAATAACAATAATTGTAATATAAAAATAAAACACAATATAAAAGAAAATATAAATTAAAAATGAAAGAGAAAAGTAAATAAAATGACGTTGTTTCGTTAGACTCATGTTATGCATGATCATGATATTGTACTATTGCTGTAGTTGTGATTGTATAAAAACTTTTAAAATTTGTATTTACTATTTACACACTTATATATATGTACATCATTCGTTTGATTTATGGAAAATTTCATTGAGATCGAAAACAATGTTCTATACACGTTATTTTTATATAAATTTTATGAATTATTTGTTTAATATATGTATACATTTGTGTACGAGTATATGCATTAAACTACCAATTCCAATAATTTACAATGAGTTTAAGATATTTTAAAATTTTAAAGCTTCTAAATATTATAGGATCTTGTAAGGTAATAATACACGTGTATGGATAGATACATTTTTATATTGCATATTTCAAATTTAAAAATATTTGAACAAACATTATTATTAGCCTAGGTATGAAATCCTTTTCTTTAATGTATTACTGAAATATTACAAAAAATAATTGATTTGGATGTATAAATATATTTCATATTTTAAAATGTTAAATTGGATGTGTAAACAATATATAATATCTCCACAAGTAGCATGAAATATAAAAAAATTGAGATTTTAATATAAAATTTTAATTCATATCGAAACTCTGGAATACATAGAGGGCCTGAATGGCCTAAGTGCACACTTCGTGGGGCAGCCCAACAGACATAAATATATATACAGAAATTTATAAGTAGAAGTTTTTTTTTATGAAAATCAAAGTTTTCAAAATGTTATTCAATTTTTATATTAATTTTAAGTAATGCATTATAATTTTAACCTTGATTGCCACTAAGAAAATAAAATTATAAAATTATATCTTCAAAATCAAAAAACATGATCATTAGGTAATACAAAAATGATTGAATATTAATTAAATAGTGCGATCACGTGATAAGTTAAAATAATTTAAAAGTGGATTAAAAACAAAATTTTTAATACAAAAATAAGAGAAAATTTAAAGCAAAAAAAAATCCTTGAAGCAAATAACTAAAATAGTTTATGAAAATAAAAAAAATTTCTTAGATAATTAATATTCAGATAGTTTTAACATGATAATGAAAAAAAGTTCCACATTTATTTGCTACTTAACAGCAGACTTCTAAAAAATGATTAAATTTTACGCTCGAAAATTCATTAAATAGAGAAATAAGTCTACCTAAGCTTTTAAAAATATTTTTGTCACATGCTTGATATTTTTATCATTGTGACGTAAAATTAATTGAGTTTGCTATTAAAACATTAATGAAAAACTCTAAATTTCATCAAGCAAACTGACAATTTTTCAAAATTTCAAAATATGTAGGATATAAAGTAAAATAAGTGTTTTGAAATAAATAGTTTTGATTTTTCATGGATTCCCAAGCACAGAAATTTCTAAAAATATAGAATTAAAAATATAATTATTAAAATACATATATATATGCAGATATTTTAAACTTCTAAAAGATTTTATATTTTGGTACATAGGACGGTATTCACGACTTTTTACTTCAAAGTATTTAGATAAGAAAATTCCTTTATAATCAGGTGACTAAATAGATCAAAATTTAAGATGCTTCAAATGCTATGCTATTGTAGTGTTCACACATAATCGTTTCACAAATTTAACATTAAAAATAATTGAATTGATATGAAATATTGTTATATATATACACATGTAGGTAGGTACATTTTAATTGTTTTAAAATATTGAGAAATAAGAAAGTATGTACATCGTTATGAACATAATATTATGTATGAATATATATATTTTATTCCTTCTTTTAGAAATCCTTGGCCTCAAAATCGATACATCAGACGGTCTCTGATTACTAAATGAAAAAAAACACCCTAAAGTCTCAAATTTTAAATGAATTTTATACATGCTTTCCAAAAGTAAAAAAATGTACAAAGTAATCCTAATTTTAAAACTAGTGAATTGCAAGAGAAAACATTTTTTTTTACTTTTGATAAAAATAATAATATGAACTTTCAATCTCTAATAGTCTCTCTTTTCAATTGTAATTTTTATTTTCGATTTTATAAAATTGCGAGAATCTTTTGCGTTGCGCATATTCCAATTTGAATCGATTTAAAAAAAATTAATGTAAGTAGTAAAAATTAGGATTTTTTATGCATGGTGGTTGAAAAACCATTTATTTGTAGGTGGTTTATTAGTCTCAATTTTATTTTGATAAAATTTTGAATATTTGTAGATTATATTGACATTTTGCTTGTGACATTTGACCTAAAAAGAAAAGTTCATTCTGTTTTCAATTTTAATTATTCATTTTTATCCTAAATTAAATTTCTTTCGAGCAAAGAATAATATTTTATTTAAAAAAAAAAAAAGATTACACGCGTACAAATTCTTTTTTTCTATATTAGTCATTTTTTTTTTATTCTACATTTATGTATATCTTCTAAAGATTTAGTGAGATATATTAAATTGACTAAAAAGTATGGTACACCAACAAACAAACATGTTAAAATTGCAGAATATTTTTTGTGTATTCTCAATGAAATGAGAAATTGTAAGAGCAATCTCTTTTTCTCTTTCTCACTCTCTTTTTTTTTTATGAAATACCATTTTTTTCACTTGCAACTTTTCCTATTACATTTTTCATTTTTTTACATTTTTATATCGAATTTTTTTTCATTTTTAGAAAATTACTGATTTTAATATAAAATTATTGGATTTCAAGTAATATTAATATTATTAATCTTACCGCTAAATATAATAGCTGATGCAGCTCCCATAACTCCGAAAAATGGTGAATAAGGGGGTGCTTTATCATCTGCCATTTTTTTTTAAATTTGATGTGTTTTTTATTTATTAAAAGCTTTAAACTAGTATTATAATTATTTTTCTTTTTCGGAAAAGTTTTATTAACTTTTCTTTATTTCAATTTACTCTATTTGGAAATGTAAAACTTGAAATTTTTTCTTTAAATCAAAAATAAATTTTTTGATACTCTTTTTTTAGAAATTAACTTTTTTTTTTGTCTAAGACGGAGTATTTACAGGTTGTCTGCAAATATACGACTGGTCTATTCCCAACACACACCAAAACTGAAAGAAACTACTGCGAAGAACTGAAGCACTCTGATCAGAAAATATTCAATGAGAAAACTTTACAACTTTCGTCTTGTCAAAATTTAAAATAGTCACAAGCACAGCAAAAAAATTACTAGTAGGAAATCGAATTTTCTTTTCACACCAATGCAATACATATGACTTTCTCTGACGTTTTATATGAAGGGTTTATTTCAAATGTCAGTCATATGACACAATATGCTGAACATTGATATAACGAAGATTTTGATTGGTTGCCTGTAGTTTAATCTCTCTCTTATAGCCAATAAGAAAACTCTTTGTTTGAAATTTATTAAAAAGCATTTTTTACTAATGTCATTCAACGATATCTGCAATGGTAACACTTTTACGATTCCTACGATGGCAGTTCTTAAGAACTTTGTTCGAGAATTTTAGAAAAAAACGTAAATGGTGAACTCAATACACGCGAGTGTATTGAGTTCACCATTTTGTAATATTCTTGTTACAAGCGTGTGTTTTTTTTACACTTAAAAACTTAAACATTTTTTTCACTAGTTTTTACGTTGCATATAAATGCCAATTATGTATGTTTTTATAGCAATAAATAATAGCACGCGGTAGAATTTCAGTTTGATGTATCGGTAATATAGGTTATAATATTAATATGGCAAACCGTGTGTATTCAGTTTAAGATAGTCAGCCAGTAATCAATTAGAACTGATTTTCTGAAAACAATCTAAGCTTATGAAAATAAAAATAAACAATGAATTAATACGTTGCTTAACTGGCCGCAAATTCTTTGGCAGAACTTTCAGCGAACAAGTATAAAATAACTAAACTGCGACGTGAGTTGCGATTGCAGTTCTTAAAAATGCATGAACTCAGTTTTTGTTGACTCAACTTCAACATGGTAGTGAATTAAACTTCATTACCAAATGACGCTGCCGAACGGTGATAGTAATTTATTAAAAACTTTTTAATCACAAGTAATTGCAATTCAAAATTGAATGAAACAGCTATTTCTTATTGTTGACCATTTTCTAGTTTATAAATTATATATTATTGTATTTTTTTTTCTTTTTACGTAAATGTATAAGAAAAAGGCGCAAATAAAATGGAGAATGTCGTGTGATATAAATGTTTTACATAGCTTATTTAAAGGAAAATTTTACATGTAAATACGAGAATATATAACGCTAATCACAGCGTTCAATATGTTGTTCAACTGGCTTAAGTTTCAACTACAAGATAGACCTTCTCTGAATATTGTTTGAGTAGACTTTAAGACATTTAATAATGTTGGTAGAAAAAATCATGAAAAAACGGAAACACTGAATTTTGACAAAATACCGCGTTTTACAAAAAGATCTGAATTTATAAATTAAATTGCCCTAAATCAGCTGATATAAACATATCTAAGAACTTGTTTATCTTTTATTAAGCTCGTATTAAATTTTGAATCATATTAAATTTGGAGTTAAACTGTCCTATAAATATTGCATTGAAAAATTACATTAACAATAAATTTTAAATTTCGTTTTTTTTTTTGGTTTCATAATAAAATCAAAAGAAACATTCATACCAGAGTTAAACTGCCTGAAAATTGAAAAAAAAACCAAATATAGGAATGTTTATGAATTGAAAAAGCTGAGGCTGTATTTGTTAAAAAAGGAATGTCTCGATAGGAATATTAAGTGTGAGTTTGAGGCAACTGAAACTAATAGAAATTATAGCCAAATCATAACGGTAAAGAACATATTTTTCAAAATAAGATATTTTACTTGGTCTAATCAGGATAAAATTTTAGATACTTTTGGAAATAGTTACAGAATAGTTCGTAGAATTAGAAATTAACTTTAATCCAAATACTGATATTGAAAAGTTAAAGGAGAACTATAATCTAAATGCACTCACGAAGTAATGAAGAGAAATGACCTCAAACACACTATATTTTCGCCAAACAGAATATGATTTCATATCAAATATAAATTTTGAATCAAGAAATTATTTTTCTTAAAAGATGAAAACCAAGATGTGAACTGAATATATTAAATTAACCACAAATATTTTATTAAACTAATTAATATGAAAGATTTGAACGTTAAATGTTGTCTCTACAGATTTCAATAAAGATTAAGTTTATATCAGCTGTTTGTCAAAAAAGATTTGCTTTAAAATTGGTTTTTGCAAGCTATGTTGTTTTCTAATGGAAAGCTATTTGAAAAATTATTTTGAAGACGTTGGAGCACAATTTCAGTGTGGGGCGTAAGGAAGGTAAATGGTTTATATGTGTTACTACAAGCTGGATTAAAGGCATATGAATTTATTCACATTAATCAAAACTACTTTTGAAATTCAAATAGGATAAATATGAATTTTAAAATAAAGTTTTGCGAATTAATCATAGATCTTTAGAATTAAACTTTTAAAAGTACTTCCGGCCTGAAAAAGTTTGGTCATTGTTAATTTCCGTTTGTTTTAATACAAAAGAATAGACGAAAATGACAGTTTCCAATAAGTAGTTCTAGTATGACGCAGTTTGAAATTGTATTTCAACGTACACATATTGCTAAAATAGTATATGATTTATGAGCTAAATGGAATATGACATAATACTTAAACATACTTATTAATATTATATTCTAATAATTTTAGAGTCGCAAACTATGTACGCCCCCCTTAATATTATATTATTCTAATAATTTTAACAGTTATGTTACATTAATACATTTGAGCCTCGTTGGCTCATTCCAATATTTTAAAATTTGTTTGGTAATATAGCGTTGCTAGCGCAGTTTCGAGTATTTTAAACTATTGTGAATGATACAAAATTCTGTGATTAGTTTGATGGAATGGACTAAAGTGTCATGCTGTCATAACAGATAATATTTTTGTTATTCCAGATTAAAGTAGAAAGAAAAAATCAAATCAAATCTGAATGTCAAGAAACACGTGTTATTGTTTTTATTTACAATTTTTCATACAAAGAAAATTTCTAAAAATTTAAAAATGAAATTTTCGTATAAAGTAAGTTCAAAAATAATATAAATCCTTTATTAAATAATGCCTTATTAATTTAACGTAGTTTTCAAATTTACTTGGGACCATCTATTGCCGTGGGAACTTATGTTTTACGCCTGATGGAAACTCAATTATAAGCCCTGTTGGGAATAAATTAACAATTTATGACTTAAAAAAGTAAGTGTAATTTTGATCTTTTAAATTAATAGGAGTTAAAATTATTTTATTTTAAGTAATAAATCTAAAACATTATCGTTGGAGAGTAAATACAATTACGCAGTAATAGCGTTGTCTCCCGATGGAAATATTCTATTAGCATGTAACGAATACGGACAATGTCAAATGATTAGTATGGTGTCATGCACAGTAATTCATAATCATAAATTCAAGACTAGTGTTCAAGTTATAGAATTTAGCCCAGATGGAAAGTTTTTTGCTGTTGCGATGGAAAATATGCTACTTGTCTTTAAAACGCCAGGTGAAATATCTGGAGAATATAGTCCATTTATATTAGAAAGAAAATTTATCGGGGCATACGACGATATTACCTGTGTGTCTTGGTCTACAGATTCCAGACTTTTAGCTATAGGTAGTCGCGACAATTCAACAAAAATTTGCGCATTAAAATTATTGGAAAATTTTCGAACATATGTACTTGGCGGTCATACAGAAGGTATAATAGGATCGTTTTTTGAAGATAATTCTCTGCATTTGAACACTATTAGCAAAAATGGTCAACTTTGCATATGGGAATGTAATTTGAATTTGCATGAATTGACTGAAAAACCTAAAATTAAACAAGAAATAATGGAAGAGGAACCTCCTATAAGAAGACGTAGAGATGATTCCGAGAGTAGCGATAGTGAAGACGACGACATTGATGAAGAAAATGCAGTAGAAAAGGATAAAAATAAGGACCTTGAAAACGATCTAATAAACAAAGATGAAAATGAATTAAAAGATGAAGATAAAAAAAAATTGCATCCCTTTTTTTATAAAAAGATAGCGCGCCATTATCTGGCAGATGAACCCAGGAAGGAGCAGAAAAACGCTTACGTAACTTCAGCCAATTACAATAAAAAAACAAAAATATTGGTTGTTGCATTTTCTACTGGGGCCTTTTATTTGTATGAACTTCCTGATGTTAATATGATCCACTCCTTAAGTATTTCAGATTATCCTATTACGGCAACTTGTTTTAATAGTACTGGGGATTGGTTGGCTTTGGCTTCGTCATCATTAGGACAATTGCTGGTTTGGGAATGGCAAAGTAAATTATAAAATATTATTAATACGTTTTAATTATGCAATTATGAAATTATTTTAATTATAATAAATGAAATATTTGTTCAGGTGAACAATATATAATGAAGCAGCAGGGGCATATGAGTGAAATGAATTGTATATCGTATTCTCCCGATGGTCAGTACATAGCTTCTGGCGGTGAAGATTCGAAGGTTAAATTATGGAATGTAAATAATGGTTTTTGTTTCGTTACTTTTACTGAGCATACTGCTGGTGTAACTGGAATTGAATTTAGTAACAACAAAAAGTTTTTAATAAGTAGCTCTTTAGATGGGACTGTAAGAGCGTATGATATTATAAGGTAATTTTAGATGGTAAAATGAAAAGTTAATTTCTAAATATTAGATTTGAGCGACATGATTTTCTTATAACTTTTTAGATATCGAAATTTTCGTACTTTTACTTCACCAAGTCCAGTTCAATTTTCTTGTGTTGCAATCGATAGTTCAAGTGAATTAGTTGTGGCAGGTGGCTTAGACGTTTTTGAAATATACTTGTGGTCGATAAAATTGGGAAAGCTTTTAGAAATTATAAGTGGGCATGAAGGTCCTGTTTGTTCAATTGCTTTTTGCCCAAGTCCTACATCGTCTACTCTTATCTCAGGTTCATGGGATAAAACGGTTAAGATTTGGAATTGTTTAGAAAATGATAGCCAACATGAAACTATTGAAGTATTATCTGATGTAACCTGCGTTGCCTTTAGTCCAAGCGGGTTGGAAATGGCGATTGCCACTCTTAGCGGAAGTATTAGTTTTTTTGAAGTGAAAACTAGTCAACAAATTACATCAATTGAAGGACGTAATGATTTAGGAAGCGGAGTTTCTGAAATAGATGTTATTACAGCTAAGAAAAATTTACAAGGAAAATGTTTTACAACAATTACTTATTCTGCTGACGGAGAATGTGTCTTAGCAGCTGGAAAATCAAAATACGTTTGCATTTATCACGTTCGGGAAGGAATTTTATTAAAAAAATTCGAAATCACACAAAATCATAGTTTTGATGGAATGAATGTAAAATAGAATTCAAATATATTTTAAAATTTTATGTAACTTCATTTTTTGTATAGGAGTTCATTAGTCGAAGAAATATGACGGAATTTGGAAATATGGCATTAATAGAAGAACGTGAAAATTTGGAAGGTGGAAATGTTGCAATCCGTTTGCCAGGTGTACAAAAAGGTGATATGGCTACTAGAAATTATAAGCCAGAAATTAGAGTATTCTGTGTCAGATTCTCACCGAATGGTCAACAATGGTCAGCCGCATGTACAGAGGGACTGCTGATATATTCTTTAGGAAAAGGAATGGTTTTCGATCCATTTAATTTGTCATTAGAAGTTACTCCAAAAGCAGCTAGAGAATGTCTAAAAAAGGGACATCATTTACAAGCTATTATAATGGCAATTAAGCTAAATGAACCAAGTTTAATACAAGCTGTTTTAGAGAGTTGCCCTGTTAAAGATAGTAAGTAGTATTTGGAAGAGACATTTTTTTAAATTAAAATCTTTTATTACTATTATGTTTCCAAATCATCTTATCATTTGATAGTGATAGTGTTTTCAAAATTCCTGCATACATATAACTAATATACGTATTATGGTATTATTATTCCGAAACTCTTTTTACTTTTTCAGAACATTTGAAACAATAAAAAGTGGTAGGATGTACCAATCATTGTGTGCTATGAAATCACAATGAATATTACAAATTATTATTTCTGTTCTTAATTTGGGAAAGTTAATCTGGGTTGATCTATAAAATTAATAACATGAATTATTTAAGAATATCTTTTAAATAATAATCGCAGTGATTGCATTAAAACTTAGATAATATTTTTAATCTTACAGATTATGTAGCTACTAAGTAAATAGATGAATAGCATCTAGGGTTTATTGCCATTCATAAGGCCCAAGTGTTTTCCTATCACCTTATTACTTTTTTTAATGAATTAATTTTATATAATTATAAGCAAAATTAAAGTTAAAGTTGTTCATGCAATGGGACTTCGAATGTCTTTAAAATTTATTAAATCTTTAGTGAGCGATTCAGTTTTAATAGAATCATAAAATTCTTTTACTTATTGCTTGCCAGTTGGAGATTCTTTTAAAATTGCATTATTTTTTGACTTTTTCTAAAATTTAAATTTATATGTAAATCTAAAACAAAATTTAAATTTATTGATTTTTATTTCAAATAAAAATATTTATTTTAGTTCATAATATACATTTTTTCTGTGATAATTGTTCATGTACATACATACTATATACTCGTATTATATACATAAAATGTGTGCATAATATAATATGCAGTATTTTCCATTTTTAAATTCTTATTCCTCATATGGAAAATCAAAAAAAAAAAAATTCTAGTTCTTTACTTTGAAAACTATTGAACTTGATTTCCAAGGAAGAAATACTATTGTTATTATTTTAGTCTTTAATAAAAAAGAAAAAAAAAAACAAAAAGAAATCATTTCGGTAATTTTTTTTTTCATTAAAAGTTTTTCGTGTCTAATTTATGACCTGATATTTATTTAGTAGCTTTTAATATTTTTTCATTTCAACCAACCATTTTTAGTCAATGATTATCGTTACTGATTTTTGCATGTAAAAATATACATTCATACATTTATATTTATAGACACATACCATTTATATACACATACATATATACGTAGATATTTAAGGTTCGCTTAAAAAAATTTGTTTTTCACTATTTGTTGTCCCTTTATATCGTTTTTGAAATTCATATACTTGCTGGTTCTGTTTATGTTATGTACATAATATACTTGTTCATAGTACGAAAAGTATAGTAGTTTTTGTAGTAAGTGTAATAATATACTTGGAGCTAAATTTGTTTTAAGAAGACAATACGATTAGGTCTTAAACACTGACTGCATTAAAAATTTCATTTTTTCATTCATTTTATTTCTTGTTATTTGGTAAAATTCTGCTTTTTTTTTTTTTGTTTTTATCGTATTCCTGTTCTTTTGTTTTGAACGGCGGCGCTAGTAGAACGAATATTAACACCAAGGATTAAATTCAAAAATTCAATCCGTTTATCTATATAATATTTATGTATGTATGTATTTTTGTAGAGTAAAAATTATGTAAATTCACGAAATGACTTATTTATAACTTTTGTTAATATGACCTTGCTAATATTTTATGGCTGACATAAGATTTTTTTTTATTTGAAAGTTTAAATTTTTTTTTATATTCAAAAGAATATTGCAACCGAATTATAATTGAATATAAATATACAATGTTTTGTTTAAACAGATTGAACTTTGTTTAAACAGATAATGAGAAATTAATTAATGCTTATTAATTAATTATTTAGTTAAATTTGAACATTTTTCCTAAATCTAAAAATATTACTAACTCTTAAATATTAAATTATGTGTATTGACTAATGTTATTTAATTTTATTTAATAATTATTTATGAATCTTTAATTTATTAATATATTGCATAAAATTCAAATATATGTTTTTCTATTTAATTTTAGAAAAAAAAATTTTCTTGTCGTTTGTTAAAAGCAATAATTTGTTCTTTTTAGAACATGCCTATATTATAATCATTGTTTTCAATAAATTTATTTTTAAATTAATTACAATAATTTTTGGTAAAATATAAATTGTTAAATTAAATTTAAAATAATCATTCAATTTTTAGATTAAGCAAATTTTTAATTATTTGATTAAAGATTTGCTTAAATAATTTATGGTATAAATTTTGAAGAAAAATCTAAATTAACTTCCTATAATTTAGGAGAGAAATAATATTTTGTGTAATTTTGTAATTCACTGTAGTTTACTAGCATACACCAATTACCTCGTACAATTTATCTCTAATTTGTTTTTAAATTTGATGTTCCTTTGTCTGTATTTGATGAAGTCACAGTTGTTTTTCATGATAGTTGTTCTTTGCCGGTCACCATTATAGATTAGATCTATATTCTAATACCAAAAACTTCTCTCATCAACAATTTTGTTTAAAAATTTTGTTTTTTTTAACCTTAATACCTTTAAAAAAATATGAATTTCATAAAACAAATATGCATACTCGTATAGAAGTTATAGGGTTTCTTATATGCAATATATTTACACAATTTTAATGTAATTTTATGGGATTTGTGTTTTTTTTTTAAATAAACGAAAAATTCATTTCGCACATACTTGAAAAATTAAAATATAGGGTTAAATAAATAACAGTTTTTATATTCTATTAAAATTTTACATTTTCCTATAAATATGCAACATATTAGGTTGGAAGCTAAATTTTTTTTGTAATGAACTGAAAAACTCGTCGTACTAAAAATAATAAATTTGTAAAAAATGTTTATTTCACATAGTTTAAATTTTAGCACGTCCGATAATTTTAAATATTTATTTTAAATAAATAGATGTATATTTGTAATATATGTACAAATATTATCCTTTTCAAATTATATACAATCAATTGTACATTAAACATATATGTGTAATGTTAAATTTTTAAATTAAATTAGAAATTTATACACGACCAAAAATTAAAAAAAACATCAACAAATGAAAAATAATTATAATTTATGCAAAAAGTAGCTACTTATATGTGTATTTATTTATTTTTAAAGCAAAAAGAAAAAAAAAGAAAACTTGAAATTAGAATTACAAAATAACTTAAATAGTTTTTTTTAGAATTAATTAAGAAAAATAAATTTCTGTGCCTATGTAGTACAAAACTCATAATAAACTGGTTTAATAATAGTTGAAAAATTATTGTACTAGGTATCTTACTGATAATAAACTCTATACTGCATACCGAGAAATAATGTTAAATAATGTTAAATAATGTAAAAAAAAACAAGAATTAAAGGAAAAAATAAGGACATAAAGAACTGTAGACGTCATAGAGCTCTCATTTTTATTTTGTTTTAATTTGTTTTTCATATTGAAAAAGTATTTTAGCGATTTTATAAGTATGTAGAAAGGTATAAGGTAAAATTATGTGTGTATACTTAGTTAATACGTAGTTTTACATTTATTTTTTTTTTTAATATAAATATGCACAATATGCTAATTAATATCGATTTAAAAAGCACAATTGAAACAAAAAAACAAAGAAACAATTTTTTATTCTAAATTAAGAACCTGAAAAACACAATTCGTAAAAATTTTTCTTTTTAACTAGAACATTTTTGATATTGTTTGTTTTTTTTTTTTTTTTTTTTTGGAACAATGTTTGTATAAAAATGCATATGATAAATTTTTTTTAAATTTTGTATGTTTGTAACAAATTAAAAATTTTTAATTCTAAAGTTTTTAAAATAAAATTTAGTAATATAACGTAAATAATTAGAAGTCATACAATTAATGTGAATGGGTACGATTTATTCTCAATTCTTCACATTTTTTTTAATTACATTTTATACGTGAGTATAGAACCGAGTTCTCCTTTTATCTGTGATGATTCAAATCTGTTATTTTTTTAGAAATTTCATCCAATTTTATTGCAGTTTTTTAATTAACGTTTATTAGCTTAATTATTTTTGTAAAAATTATTCTATTAACAATAATTTCTTGTTAATGTTTCTCAGAGTTATTTACTTCTTCCATTCAAATACCTTAAGAATAAATTTTTGAATCATCTGAAACGTCTTTATCTTAATCTTCTTGCTTCTCTTTCGGGTTCAAGAAGTTTTAAAATGTCACCTTTTCTTACTGGACCTTTAACATTACGGATAATTTGACGGTTTTGTTCACCTAAAAATTCAACTTTAACTTGTGAACTTTGTCCTTGGAATCCGATACGACCAAGAACTTTAATAAGACGAGCGCAAATGGTTGATTTTTACATGGTTTTTTTTTTATTTTTTAATTTTATTTAAGAAGTTTTACTCGTGAATTCTACTTTTCTTAACAGGCGGAAATAAAAAAAATTAATAAATATCTTAGTGATTTTTTAGACTATTAGGATATAAGAAAATTAAAGCTAGATATTTGTGTCACATATCTCTGGATATATATTTGAATGCAAAATCAGATCTAATATTTTTCATTATCATAAAGAATAAGTCATTGATTATTTTTCTAAATAATTTAGACATCGTTGGGATTCATAGACACGTCTTCATAGTTTTACAACACGCATATATAATTTTTATAAAAATAATTCATGGACAATAAGAATAATATTAAAAAATCCATTTTATTTTTATTTTAATTTTTTTTTTTGTAAAATTTTATTTGACTCCAAGAAGAGTTTTTGAAAAGGCACTAATCTGATTGCTACTATAAACATAAAATAATAAAAAAAACTATAATAATTATTTATTTTTTTTTTTAGTTGAATTAATTTCGGCATCGATACCAAATGAGTATGCACAAAGACTTTTATTGAATATATCAAAACTTATACAATCAACACCTCATATTGAATTTTATTTGAAATGGTCCTGCTGTTTACTAACACATCATGGTAATAAAGAGAATGTTTTTGAAAATTCTTCATTGTTGTCATTACATGAGAGTTTATCTAGGAAATATGAGTCATTACATAAAATGTAAGTAAAAATCGTTTGTAAATCTTTATGTATAACCCCGCATTTCTACAACTAATAGAAATATAAAATAAGTTTAGAAAATCGAAATTCACTTAAATTAAGCAATAAAAAGAAAAATAATTCCGTATGGAATAATATTTAATCAGATATATAGAAACTAGTTTATATATGTTTTGTGATCTTATAATTTGAAATATTTTTTATCTTTTAATTGTTACTCGTAAAAAGTTGCTTTTCTATTTTATTGTATAATAATATATAAAAATTGTTATTTGCGTATTTTCTTTCTGCTTCCGGAATTACATTATTAAAAAAATTTCTATTTTTCTTTTTGTTCAGCTAATTTTATAGTTGTATTATTGATATATTTTTCTTATATTTTATTTATACTTATCTAATGCTAATTTAAAAGTAAATTTAAAACAAGGAATTAAAGTGTAATTTATAATAAAATGAATTGCAACAGAATTTAATGAAATCGAATTATGTATGTGGAAGAAGTAAATTCAAATGTATAATAAAACAAATAATATAACTATTTCCTTTAGTAATTTTCCATAATTTAAATTATTTCATTACTATATTAGAATAATTTAAATTTACGAATAAATCTATTAAATAATGTCCTTCAAATTTTTGAGGAAAAAACATTTTTTAATTGATATCCAATGTAAATATTTTTATTGTTACTTTTTTTTTTCTTATATATTATTGCGCATTTTAAGAATGGCATACTATGTTATTTAAGTAACATTAGATAATAATAGAATGATATACTAAATTAGTAAATTTTTTATAAAACAAAATATAAAAATGAGTTGTAGTAAACATTTATAAAATTATGCAAAATTATATGCAATTTTCTCTTATAATTAAAATTTAAGATAGAAAATCATTTTAAATTATAATGTTACATAGAATTTTAATTATAAATTTGCATACGTAACAAAAATTTGAACTAGAAGTAAGAAAAATTCAATATTTATGTACACTAATTAATTTCCGGTATTTACGATAATATATTTTAGAGAATTTATATTTATAACTTAATTTATGTATCATTATAGCAATTTAACTATTATTTTTTTTTGTATTCTAACCTTAAAATGTTAGATTTTAGATTTAAGGAATTCTTTGTAATATTTTGTTCAATGTCTTATTTAAATTTTTTCATTTAAATTCCAAGAATATATACTTTATATTTTTTAAGGAAATATTGAAGATTTTTAACCATTTTCCTTAAAAAATACTTAAATTAATTTAATACTTTAAGAATAATTAAAGAATAAATATTTAATCTTTACAATTTTTTAAATAGAATGGTTTATAAAAAAACCTACAATTATACACTTTTTTTATTTTTTATATTTTTGCAGATGTGACTTTAATAAATATACCTTGAAAGTTTTGATTGATTTAGCTCAGATTACTAAAACGGATAAAAATAAAAATTTAGATGAAAATGATGAAGAATCAGATGAAGATGAAAATATTTTAATTAAATCAAAAAATTTATTAAATGGTGATAAAAATGATGATGATGATTTTATTTCTCTTGAAAATGCAAATGGTATTGAATCTGGTAATGATACTAGTGAGGATGAATGATGATGGTGATAAAAATAACAGTTAAACTTGAAATAATTACTTGACTACATTTTTATTGTATACTTTAAGAATTAATAAAATATTATTGTAAGAATTTATATAATATAGATATTTTTGATGTTTTATTTTAAAAATACATTTTTTTAAGCAGTAAATTACAAAAAATAATATTTACAAACATTTTGTTATATTTTCATAAATTTTGTTCGCTACCTATATTAAAGTTTGTGACTTACCATATAATCTCAATTCAAGCTGAAATTGAAAGTAGCATTAAAATTCGATTTAAATTAAAATAATTTGAGTTTTTAAATAAATCCGAATTTCAATATTTAATTGACACATCAAGTTAATGCGATATTTTGTCATCATTGGAGAGATCACATTAAAAAATTTTCTTAAAATAATTTCTTTCGATTGACTCTTCTTTTTCTTTCGTATTAATTCAATGATTGTTTTAAATCCCATAGGAAAGATAGAAAATATTTTATCAGACATGCTGTAATTGAGTAAAAAATTCAAATTGGAAGAAAAGTACTACATCTTTTTCTGGAAAATTTAACAAAATTAAACAATTTAATTATTGTTTTATTGGAAAATAATTAAAATATATTTTCTATGATTTTTAACAATTTCGTTTTTGTTTTCTTTTTGTCTTTTTAATTATTGATATCATTTTTTTGCTCTTTTATATATATATGTATATATATATTTTTTGTTTCTTTTTTTTTAATTTTATAATTTATAACTTCAAAATCTTATCCGTTTACCTAATGAGTGTTCAAAATGAATTTTTTTATTAGTTTTTTTTTTTCTAAATTGCCTTAACTTTGATGTTTTTTCTATTTATTATTTATATTTTATTTAATTTATATTTTGTCTCTTAATTAGCATAAAAAATGGTACTAAATTATCACAAATAATTTTTTTTTTTAATTTTTTTAATATTTGTTTTTTTATTTTTTGGTGTTTTGGAAAATTTTTTAAATGAAACAGAAATTTATTGAAAAACATCAATATAATAACTATGAAAAATAAAAATTTAAATAAAAATTATGAAAAATAAGTTAAGACAACTTTGGATTCGATATAGCGTTAATTATAATTATGCATATTTTTATAAATTTTATTTAATTTTTAATTAATTAATAAATTTTTTGCTTTGATTTTTTTTTCTTTTGTCTTTGTAAAATTTTATTTGAGCATTTATAAACAGCATTTTTGTGTTATTAAAATTGAAAATTTCTATATATGTATATAATTATTATGAGTATTTAATACTTAAATTACTATTATATAATTTGTATATTAAGAAATATATTATAATATATGTATATGTACATTTATATTGAATATGTGTATTTTAATATTTAGATAGATGTTATTACATAAGTATTTACTTATAAATATAAAAATATTTTCATTTTAATTAAACAATAAGTTTTTTTTTGTTTTATTAAGGCTTTTTGTATTTTTGTTTATTATTTTTTTTTTATTTGTATTTCTTATAAATATTTTCGTAGTTTGAATTTAGTATTTTGTCCCCAAATCCTTCGTTTTTCAAAAACAAAATTTTTTTTTAAATTAATTAACTAAAATTAATATTTTCTACTTAATTTATGTTGTCTAAATTTTTTAAAAATTATTAATTTAAATTTAAAATTTTGTAAATTTTCGTAATGATGTTGAATATTATAGGCTGATCCATAAACTTCTCTAGTATTATTTTATTTGTGTGAATTATTTAAATTATTGTAAATTCTAAATAATAAAAATAGATATAATAATAAAATAGGAATTGATTTAAATTAAAGTATGAAGAAATAATATAAATTTTTTTTTCATTTGTACCAGATATTTTATACACATATAATAAAATTTATTAAATAAAAATTTAAATTTAAATAAAGAAGAATTCAAAGAATTTTAGGGAATTTTTCTATTAATATTTTACTATTTTATCCTTATATTATGAATTTGTTAATGTTAAAAAAGCGAGTTTTGAACGTTTATCTTCTTTTTTTTTTTGTAAATATATTTAATTATTTTTTTTCTCTTTGTAAATGTATATATATATATATATATATATATTTAATTTAATATTTATTTAATATATGTATGTCATGATTTAAAGCACCAAAATTTAATAAAATAAAAAAAGGAAAAAATTATCTGCTTTTATAAAAATTAGATATAAATATTTACAGGTTTTATTTTTAAATGTTTTTATCTCAAAATATATTATTTATCTATTAATTTTTTTTTCTTTTTTTGTTTTGTAATACCATGTAATAATTAGGCAAAGTGCGTTAATCTCTACAATATTGTTGACTAACCCGGTTTTTTTGTTTTTGTTTTGGTTTTAAGATAAAGCTATAGCAAAATATATTTTTAGAAATATTATGTACATTTGTTTCGTTAAAGAGTTTGTTCAGATGATGATGATGATGATGATGTTATAATTTTATTTGATTTACAAAAATATCTTTTAATTAAAATTAAAAATTTTAAAGAAATGGTTTTTGCTTCTCAATTCTCAATTCAGGAAGAATTTTGTTTTTAAATCAATTATATTTAAATTATAATTTACATAAAAAAGAGTAATATGTACATTGTTAAACTTTTAAAATAAAATATATTAAATAAAAATTTGTTAAAAAGAATAACCAATTTAAATATAGAAATTTTCACGAAAGATTCTAAATTTTTAAGATATACAGTTATAGTCATGTAATATTATATTATAATGCATTATGATAACTAAAATATAAATTTTTATTTTGGAAAAATTTTTGTATATAAATCTTATTAAATTTCAAAATTTCGTGTGCCTATATTTATAATAATAAGTGATATCTATCATACTTAAAATGTTTGATTTTAAATAAAAACTATTTTTAAGAATATTGTTCCGAAAATATGAAAGTGGCAGCACTGATAAAAACATATAGTTATTATTTAATTTTGAAAATATCAAGTTAGTATTGCATTTTTTCTAAATTTTGTTTTTAAAATTATAAGATTTTTATTATTATATAATTTATTATGTATATTACATTTTATTCTATTGAATCTATTGAAATATATCACGATAATTTGAAATTAAGTTTCTATACGAATACACCGAATTCTCGAAAAAAAAAAATTTCCAAAAATTGTAGTATTGATTAAAAAATAATTTTGTATTTAATTTTACTAATTCAAATTATTTTAGATGTATATAAAATTATTATTCAACAATATAGTTTGCACTTTTATTAGGAATGTAAGCTCATATTGTAAGTAGACATATAAGGAGAGTATAACAAAAAAAAAATAAAAATAAAAACAAATCCAGTTATTATTTAATTTGCAAATTATTTTTTAATTTTAAATATTTAAAGTATTATTTATTTTATTTCTGTTATAATATAAAGCCATATTTCATTTTCTGTCTTTCTTTTTTAATATAATTTTTATTGTATAACATTTTTATATATATTTTGCATATATACAATGTTACAATGTTGAACAATGCGTATATTAAAATTTAGGTTCCCTGACATCTCATCATACAAGACATTTCATCATTGTAACATTTCATCATTTTAACATTTCATCATTATAGCAATTCATCATTGCACATTTCAACATTATAGCAATTCATCATTATTGTTTTTTATCACCATAACATTTCATCATTGCATAAAGTGCATTTTGCAAACATAAGTACATGTAGATGTAATTAAGTAATTAACATACTGAGTACGTATTAAATATATTTAAAATAATAAAAAATGGACATTCTGCTGCTGACAGTCGCCAATACAATTTTAATGGGCATTGTGCTTAGCAATTTGCTTATTGAATTTATATTGGCGATCGCCGAGCGCTTCATAATTTACATGGGCACCTTACCTATTTGCCCAGTGAGAAATTGTGCCCAGTGATCAAAGCATTTAAATTAACTTTTACTTTTAAATTAAAAAAGAATTGTCTAGATTAATAATTACTATAGCTTATTATTATATAAATTTAGCTTTAATATCACTTTACCTGAAAGAGCTCTACAAGAGATGTTGTAAGTTCGATAGTCAGCTAAGAATGAGGGCACTGCTGCTGTGCACCGAGGGTATATTAAATCATAATCTGATAAGAAATTTCTTTGCAAGGCCAGTTTATCTGTGATCTTAAGATCACAGGCATCTTAGTGATGAAATGTTATGGTTATGAAATACAATAATGATGAATTGCTATAATGTTGAAGTGTGCAATGATGAATTGCTATAATGATGAAATGTTACAATGATGAAATGTCTCGTATGATGAGGTGTCTGGTCATCAAAATTTATTATTAAATTATTAATTAAATGAGAGTAATATTTTATTTACTATATTTTAAATTTAATTTTTATAAATTATTTTTAATTGTTTATGCACGTTTTTAAGAAAAAATTTTATACAATTTATGAAATTAAAAAAAATCTCAAAAAAAAAATTTATCATTTTTATACATATATTCATAAATATACGAATATAAATTTTATAAATGCATAAAATTGATGTCAAGTCTATCTACATGAAATTATAAATTAAAAGTATACAGAAATTGATTTTAATTGTTTTTTTTTTTAGATTCTAGGCTTGTGTACCGCATAAAAATTTAACATGATTTTAATTGAGTTCATTCCAAATTGCTTATTTTCATGATAATTGTATTTGAATTAAACTTTATATCCCAAAATAATTGTGTTTTATTAAATTATATAAATTTGGAATTATAACTGAATATTTTTTAAAATAAGTATTCTGTATTATTGTAAACAAAATATTTTGTCCTATATATTTATAAAAATAAGCGATAAATATTTTGTACTTAATATAAGTATAAGTTTCAATTTATTATTTAAAATTTATTCAAGATTGTTACATAATTAACAATAAAAAACTGTACTTGTGAAATTATTCATATAAATAATACGATGCAGGTTTTTAGATTTTTATGCAAATTATGTATATATATATATTATATTTTATTGTACTCATATAATATTAGAAGAGAACCTATATTAAAATAACATATTGTATATTACATTTATTTGTAAAAATTTAAATAATATATTAAAATATTATCGTCACATTTTCGGAATTAATAGTTTTCTAATTGTTGAAAAGTGTATGTTTTAAAATTATATATGAACGTATGTATAAATATAATTATATTTCATTTTTCTTTATTCAAATGTGGTAGTTTTGTGATACGTTTTACAAAATATTATAATTCTTATAATACATATATGTACATAAAATTACTTACGTGTTTCATAATTATTTAGACCTTTTGTATTTTTGAATTCTTTCAATTATAAAAAATTTCACATTCTTTAGTGTTCTTGTACTCCTTGTTTAAATTGTCTACATTTATATATTTTTATAAATATACTTTTATATTAACATTGTAAATTTTATAAAATTACAATTAACTTATGAATATTTTATATTATGTATAGAAGAAATAAGCTGATAAGAGTTGAATTTTTTTGTTTTTTTAATTGAAAATTAAAGAAATTTTATTTTTATTATTTACATAAAAATTATTTTAAAAATTGACTTCATATAGTAAAATATAATAATTTTTAATGTAATTAATAAAATATTATGAATATCCTATCTACTTATAATTTTTGTATTACATTATTATAATTAAAAATCAAATTAATTAAATTATCTAATTATAATTTGAAATAAAAAATTTACAAAATTTCATAATATTTTAATTAATAAATTTTATATTGGAAAATTTATTTTTTCCATATTTTCATTTTGATAAATATATGTAAAAGTATATATATACATATATTATAAGTATATATACACAAATATGGACAAGTATATATGTATATATTAAAAACTATATTGCAATTTCTTGCAATATATAAATTTTTCTTAACTGATGAAATTAATTATTTAAAATGTTATTAAGAAAAAACAAAAATATTATTTTATTTATTAATAAAATTTATTTAATACACAATTTAATTAATTAATAATACTAAAGCAATTAGAACGATTTATAATAATAATAATTTCTTCGATTAAAATTTCCGATTTAATTTTCGTGAACATTTTGGAGCCATTTTAAACACAATGAAAATTTCAAAAATATTAAAATCCCATTTTAATTTTATTTGTAATCTATTTAATAAGTAATAATATGTAATAAAAAATAAGTAAATAATATGTAAATAATTTTTCTGTAAAATATTTAGAATTTATAAGTTTTAAGATTTTTAAAATCCCAAGACTTGAATTAGGCATTAAAAGCAAAGACAAAACAAAATACGAGTATGTTCGTTGAAGTGAATAGTAACAACAAAATTCGAGTCTCTGTATGAATATCATTATTATTTTATTTAAAATGAAAAATTTTATAATTTTTAATGTATAAAATATTTTATTAAATAATTTTAATTTTTTGTACCAATCTATATATGTATATATTATTATACCGTAATATAATTTTGTCTGAATAAACAGTATAATATATTGAATTTGTATTTCTCAATAATTTAAAATAATATTAATCTCAAATAATAATTATTTAACAAAAAAACAATTATATTTATAGGATAAATTGATATTACTTATTTATTTATTTATTATAGCTAGTTTTATTTTCAAAACATGTATAAACACCATGGAAAAAAAAATTAAATTAATTTTTAATATTAAAAAAAATCAATATTTTATATTAAAAAAAAAAAATAAAAAATAAGTCATCAATAGCATATTGACACAAATATATATATATATATATATATATATATATATATATATATATATATATCTAATAATGAATATATATATATATATATATATATATGTCTTTATAAATTATAGTCAATATTTTGCTAGAATTTTTTTTTTGTTAATTAATCCGTCACATAATTATACTGTTGTATATTATGTTCAATATAAATTATATTTATATATTGCGTTTATATAACATCATTTTTGATCCTTTTACTATAATAATTAAAATACAAATAATAATAACTAAACAATTGATAATACATTTAAAATTTATATTTATCCTAAAATTCTAGGAAGATTTCATAAGAAGTATAGGCCAATAAAGTATCACAAATACTAAAAATAATACTGGAAATACAATTCTTGAAGTTTTATCAATTTCACGCCACATAATTTTTTCAACACCAGTATCAGTATCCGTCCATGCAACTGATAATAAACTTTGCCGTCTTGCTGGTTTTGGTGGACCACCATTCCCTTGTAATGATGTCTATATTTTTTAAGAATAAAATAAAAAAAAAAAAAAATTGAACGAAAAAAATTTAACGAAAAAAAATCGTATTTATTAAAAAAAAACAAAAAAAATTAATCAAATTTATTAAATTTCAAATAATTTTATAAAAAAAATTAAAATAATATTAAAATAAAATAAGAATCAATAATAATAATTGCATACACCTTGGAGTAAACATTTTAACTCTCTGTCTCGTGCAATTTTAAAATTAATACAAAATTTTTTTTTCTTTTACTTTTTTTTTTAATAAATTAAATATAATTATAGTCTTATAATCATACCTGACCGGGTGTAGTAGGTGTCTGTGAGGGTGCTTTTCGTGATCTAACTGCTCCACCTTCCCAATTTGCTACAGTTGCACATTGACCTTTTTCCATAGCAGTTATACGCTAAATTAAAATGTAATATGCATATATGAAATAATTGTGTTCTTTTTTTCCAACCTTAGACATTATACATATTATATAGTTACACACATTTATACAGAATACAATATTATAACATTTTATGAAAAAACAAAATATGAAAGAGAATTTTTTTTTTCCATTCTTTCCCATTAATTTGTGAATGCCATTATTGTAAACATATGTTTAGTGTAAAAATAAAACGAGGTTAAAAATTATTTATAGAACTAATTATTCAAACTTATAACTATACATAGGTTCGTATGCGTATATATATATATATATATATATATATACATAAATTACTGTTTAATGTTTTTAACAATATTGTAATTGTTGTACCATTTTTTGAACATAACGTATATATGGGGTTTGATTAAGTTAAGTAGTTTACATATTTTGATTCAAAATTTAAGTATATGTATATTATGTAAGTATATAATAACAATAGAAAACTCAACAGTTTCTCATTACAATGGAATGTAGGCAGTGAAATTTTTTAGGGAAATTTTCATTTAAAATACTGAAATTATTAATTTTATATTGAATTTTCTTAAATTTATTGTTTTCCAATTGTAATTAAATGCCGACAATAAAGGGTCTTTCTTAAAAACATAATTTTGTATAGCTTTTAAAATAAAATCACTATTAAATTTTCTACATTTTTGTAAAAAAATTTTCTTTTTGAATTAAAAATTAATTTAATAGGAAAAAATATAATATGGCTATTATAAAATTAATTTGAAATGGGGTATAATCGAAAAGTAATCGATGTATCATCGATAAGTAATCATGAAAAAATCATGTACGAAAATGCATCAATACGGTAATACTTTAAATTTTTGGTGTTCAAAAATGTCAAAATAATATTGCATCAGCAAGGTACACGTCTTACATCGGTATAACATCAGCAACATTTTTTTACAACGACGCTGCATTGATGCCCATTTATAATTACTCGTACTTTTCGATTATACCCTGTTCTTATACAAGTATTAGTGGATAGTTACTGTCCATTTTATTATTTAAGTTCTTTAAATCATTACACATCAACTTTCATGTCAAAATGCATTTTTATTTCATTCTAAGATTCTAAAATATTAATTTAGACTATAATATATATAAGTCTATATTTGTACAAATAGAAATTTTATGACTCAACATACACACATTACAAAATATAAAACAAAAATATTTATAGTTTTTTTTTTTTATTTTAAAAATTAAAATCACTTACCATTGGTAAGACTTTTGGTATTTTATTCACTTGGTATTGATATTGTACATCAAGGACTTTAACAACAACAAATTCACCTAAAGCTGCAAAAACAAACATCATACAACCAGCCATCCATAAATCTAAAGCCTTTAAAAAAAATAAGGAAGAAAAGAAAACAATACAAAAAAAAAAGAAATGAAGAAGCGTAAAATGAAGTTTTTATAAACTATTACCACTTTTTTTTTAATAAATCAATAAAAATTACAAATGTATGTAATAAAATAAGGTATAGAAGTTTTTCATAATAACTTGAAATATGGGAGTGTAAATGTATAAGAATGTAATGATATTAATTATAAAATTATGGAAATAATTTTCTCTTGTAACTTTGTTCAAAAACACTGACAAGATAACGGGATCTTAACGAAGAAATTTAATCAATTAAATTGTAAAAGCTGTGATTTTGAACGAGAACGTTTTGATAACTGATCAACGAGAGTCACTTCATGTATTTTGTATTCATCAAGTAAATGTTTTAGAACACTTAAGTCAAAATTTTAGATTTGAATTTCGAGAAGAATTGGTTGTGCTACGAACATGCTTTATTGTGCTTGCGCTACATTTAATTTATATTATTCAATATTTTTATATTCGGATGAAACATAATAATAAATTAGAGCGATTACATTTTAGGTACAATGTTTTCCTTTTAAATTTTAATAATAAATAATGAAAATGTAAATGGAACACAAAAAAAAAAAATGTGGCGCGTTATACAGTTATTACAATTATATAATACGTTGTTATCTTAATAATTTTTTTAAAAATTTATTATTTACCTTAACATAAGCGACTGGTGGTATATCAGCTCTTAATCCGGTAAACATTGTAACTAATGTTAACATACATGTTACTAATAATGTTACACGACCTGGTATTGCATCTAAACCTAACCAAAAACTAAACCATGATAACATAACAACTAATGATGATGGAGCAAATGTTTGTATTAAATGATGTCCAATTTGACGTTCAAAACGAAAATATACAGTTAAACGGGAAAAATTTCCAACTTTCTCTGGCATATAACCATCACTCTCTTCTAATTGTAATGGTTGTCCTAAATTATATTGCAATAATTTTAATTCTGGATTTAATATAACACCAGTATCGGACCATTTTAATTTTACTTTTTGATTGCTATAGGAAACTGTAAAATAAAGAAAAAATTAAAATTTAATAATATTAATTTTAATTATATTTGTTTTTAGAATTTCAAGTAAATTAATTATATTATAATTTTAAGTAAGTATTAAGTAAGGGTGTTTTCGATAATCAAATATGCGTTTGGATTTCTAACTTATTACGTAAATAATTTAAAACAACAGAAAGAATGCAGCTGAAAAAAACTACACATTTGACAATACCATAAAAATAAGTGTTGTTGGTTGTGAAAATTCAAAGATTGTTGTGTGTTTTTTTAAAGTTTCCTTCTATCCCAGAACTTTTCATTTTCCATTTCACTAAAATATAAATTTAAATTTTTTTATTAAAGTAATAACATTGCTGAAATGAAACTACTCTAATAAATCCTCTAATTCCCATATTATTTTATTTTAAGTATACAAAATAGTTTCCGTATCAGTAAAATTAAAACTGAGTTGTTGCACGTGATATATCTTAAAAATTTTAAGTTGCAGTTGTAGTTATAAAACAAACTACAAAAACAGTACAGCATAACCAAACACATTTTTTTGGTAGCACGTGCAGTACTTCATTACCGAACATACTAAACATTTAGTACTAAGTTAGAACTGAATTATCAAAAGCACATTCATTTTTAGGAAAATATTTATAACTAAAGGTAAGTATTTTTTTTTTTCAGTCACTTTGAAAACTATAAAAGTGAATTTTTCCTAAAAAGCAGGCAGGCTGATTTAAAATTTAAAATAAATATTTTAATAATATTATACTTACAACTTTCAATTTGTATTGGACAGACTTGTATATCCATTGGATACATTTGAAATTCCATTTGACAGGCAATAATTGCATGCATCCGTGCTGCATATCGTACCGTTTTATTTTTATATAACGTCACAGATGTAAATTTATGGGTTAAGGTTGCGATTTCTAATACAAAACAAAAACAAAAACAAAAATGAAAAATATCAACAAACGTACATGTATGAATTACAAAAATAATTTTTTTCTTTTTAATCTTTAATCATAATATTATTAAGTAAATATTTTATTAAATTAAATTGTTTCTATACATATATATATATATATAAATAAATAATTGTAGCATTTTTACAAAAACATGAATTTTGTTTGTATAAAAATATAGATATAAGTATAATAAAACACAGCATGTTTATAAGTGTGTATGGTGTTAATTGAAATAAAAATTTATTTTATATAATTGTATAAAATATAAAATAATTTGAAAAGAAAAAAAAAAACAAAATATTCAATGAAAAACATACATAAATTTTGTTTTTTTTTTGTTTTTGTAAAAATTTTTATGTTATATAATTATTGGAGCCGATATTTCTACTAATATCAGCGGGTGCTTAATGACTATACCATTTTTATAATTTTTTATAGAATATTTAACGCATACTTAATAGTGCATAATTTTAAGTAAAACAAAAAAAAAAAAAAGAAAAATAATTTTCGTATTTTGATGTTTTTTTTTTTTTTGGTTTTTGTTTTTAAATTGCATGGGGACAATTATAATATTAAAACAGAAAGAACAGAAAAATAAAAGAAATAAAAAATAACATAAAAAAATGGAAACACAAACAAAATGTGGTATATGTATATATGTAAAATGTACGTATATACGAATGTAAAACAATGTTTTTTTCCAATTATTATTAAATGCATTAAAGGACGTCTATTATAAGTCCTTATAAATTATTTAAGAATTTTAAAATAAATGAGATTTTGCTAAACGATTTTAAAAAATCATTTTCATATATGCATGTATGTATTTAAAAAACAAAAAACATGACATTTTTACTTTATTGTACTTTATATCATTGAATTTTTATGTTAATTAGTGTACGTGTATGTTATTATATACCTCATATATAAATACACTTTACATGCACATTCTAGACTAGATTCTAGATGTATGTGTTAACAAAATTATGTAATTGTTTTGGAATTGTTATTTTCAACTTTGAATTTCAAAAATTTATAAAATTATTTAATTTGAATTTTTCAAAATTTTTCAAAAATTTTGTAAGTTGGAAAGATTAAATCAAAAATCTAATTTTGAATTCGCTCCAATAAGTTATTCGCAATTTGACAAAATTTACGTGAATTTCACTTACTAAACGAAAACAACTAATTTGGTTTGAAGTAGCACACTAATTATGTTTTTTATGTCTAATTATTATACTATTTACATATACATATGTACATAATTTGACAAAGATATATTGACATAACAGTTATGTCATACCTATGTTCAGCAACATTTATTGTTATTTGCATATAAAATTTATTTACGATATATTTTGTTGAATTTGAAAGATTTTCTGAAGTATGAAAAGAAATTATTATATAAAATGACAAGTTCATTTTGAAAAAAAAAAATAAAATGATTTGTAATTTTTTTCTGACATTTTGTTTTTGGGTATAATAAATTTGTTCCCGTTTTTTAACTTTAAAAGTTTAATTTTAATTCAAATATGCTTTGAATTGAACCACTAAATGTGTTGAAAAATTCGCTAATAAAATATATGAAATGTTTTCTTATTTGCAAAAAATAATCATATTTTTATCAAATATGAAATTTAATATTTAATATACTAAATTTTTTTGTAAAGATGTGTAAATATAAGACATTTTAGGGAAACATAAGGGAATGATATGATTTGCATTTTTCAATATCCAAAAATAATATTATCGTTGGTTTTTTTAGTAACAGATTGATTTTTAAATTTTCCAAATAAAATTATTGCACTTAATAATTTATTTTAGAAAATTTTTATTCTTAATTCGGTAAAATTGTGAATTTTAAAGATTAAAATTCATATTCAAACACAAACCTCTTTATGTGATGGTATAAAGTATACTAATTTTATATAACAAATATGACTGCATAATTGATTTTTTTCATATTAAAAATCTGATCGAAAACTAGATTAACTTACTATATATAATATCGTAGATATTACCGTAAAACTACTAAATTAGTTTTTATAGGTAAGACAAATACCTAGCTATTACGAAATTTTTTTTTAAAAATTTTATTTTAATATTGCATATATTTGGGCGTATGTATTTCTTTTTTTAAACATTGAATAGATTATTTTTATATTATGTATGTATTAATGTTTTAAATTAGCTAAAATTTATATAGTTTTTTTCAATATTCAATACCTAACAAAAATCCTGGCTTAGATGATAATCCAAAATTTGTATAGTACATAATTATTTACGTATATAAAAGAGCTTTCTTCAAATAAAACCGAATATTTTTATAAATAATTTTTTTTTTAGTTTTTTCTCTATTAATAATATTTTTCTGAATGAATTTAAATAAATTGAGAGAGAAATAAAAGAAAAAATTCAAAACAGTTCATTTACAAAAAATGCTTACATATAAAATATCAAATTTTATTGGAATTTCTTAAGTTATAAAAGAATGTATAACAAAAATATGGTACAAGAATGGTAAATAAATTTTTTACCATAAAATTTTTATTAATATTAAATTTATTAATTTTTATTAATAAATTTTATTTTAAAACCTATATAAATAAATATTTACAAAATATGAAAATGAAAAAAAAAAAAAATATTTGCATTTCTTTGATATTACAGGCATGTATGTGGGGCGAATGCAATCTGTTATATTTTAAGAAATAAAATTTAATTTAACTATGTGTTATACATATTCACATCTATATATCTTTGTATATGTATTTATATTAATTAATTCGGTGAAACGTAAACTTTCTTTTAATTTATTTATATTTAAAAATGAAAAACACAAATGAAAAAACAAAAACCAAAAAAAAAAAAAATGGAAACAAATCACTGTTAATATAAAATAGACTTTAATGCAATAAATTATTATTTAGAAAAAAAAAATTCATGCAAGGATCAATTCTTTTATTTAGATTTTCGTTTTTTCCTTTTTTCCTTTTTTTTGTTATTATTTAAAATGTGCATTCATTTTTATGTCAAATGAATTCTTGTGCTATAAGAGAACTGGTATAAAAAAAACACTAGTGAATATCATTTAATAATATATGTATATATATATGTATATATACATGTATATGTATGCACATCTATATATTATGTAATATGTACAAAAGGTGGGTGAAAAGTGGTGAAAACTTGAAAATTTTTTGTTATTTTATCCTTCTTTGTTATAAATAAGAGAAGCGCATTGCATGTTTAAAGTGTTAAATTATACAATAGAGGGGGGATGGACAGAAAACAGTAAAAAAAATTTATTTTTTTTTTGAAATTGGAAAAAAAAAGAATAACAAATAAGTTAAAGGTAAAAAAATGATAAAATTAAAAACTGCTATAACAACATATAACAACTTAAAGAAATCAATAAACCACTTTTTATCGATTAAAATTCTCTTATAAAATTTTTATTTAATTTTTTTTTTCTTCATATTTATTTCATTTTAGATTATTTAGCCAGGGTTCTTTTTTAAATTTTAATTTTTGTTATATAAAAAAAAATTTTTTTTTTTTTTGTAAATGAACTTTGTTGAATTTTTTTTTTCTTTCTTTGTTTTTATTGTTTAATAGTGATAACAAATCTTACACATTTTTTTTTTTTTGGATTATTAATTTCTTAATATTTGTTATTATATATATCAAATATACATATAAGGAAGAAGAAAGTATATAAGATTATATTATATATATTGTTTATTTGAAAAATTAAGTAAATCTGGTAAGTTTAATTACGTCAAAATTTAGCGAAATTCTGAGACTAATTTGGTGACATTTTTTGGCTTTTATTTCTTTTTCTTTTATATTACTATTGCTGCTCACTATTTTCCTGTTTACTTTAAGACGAGTTCGCATTATATTTTCCCACCAAGCATTTGTATAAATAAAAGTATTTGATAGATTAAGATTTTATTTATTTTATATAAATTTCCTTTTTGTTAGAATTCTGAACTTAATTTTGTTACTGCAGATAGAGGACATATTAAAGGTTCATTCTGCAATATATCCAGTTTACTTAATATACGAATTTACTTTGATATTTTGGTAGACACTAACAAAAATTTATTCCATATTTTGCAGATAATACCAGAATTAGAAAAAAAAAATTAATTGATGTCAAATTTTTAATTTGATTAAAGTTAAATTCTTTCTGTTGTAAATGATGACAATAATGCAAAAATAAATGTTTTTGTTAATGTAGAAATAGAATGTAATTTAATATATTTGAAAAATTTTTGTAGAATGTTTTTTTAACAAAATTATTCAAAATTATATTGAATTACGGCTGAGATATTATGATAATTCGTTTTTTTTTGCTGAGGTAAGTTTAACAATTTTTATTTATTGCCTTAGATATTATAACAATTAAATTATAATTAATTTTTTACATTCTATATGCAGATTATTTATGTAATTGGTTGAAGCTCTGACATAATAAAAATATACACGTTTTATGGTTATGATCATTGGTATTTTATGACACTAAATTAATATATTTCATCTATTTGTCAACAACATGTGGTGAATTGCTTACATCATTTTTATTTTAAATTTTTGGAATGTCCGAAAGTTTTGGGAGCAAAGGAATGGAAAAAGTAGAATTGAGAAAAAATTCAAAAAAATATTTAAAAACCAGTTATGTGAAAAGCGTTTAGCAACATAACGGAAGGAGACGGAAGAGTAAAGGAAATCAAAGAAGTGTAGCAGTACTTCGTCGGCAATGGGCAGTAAGTCACTTAGCTTTGAATTATTTTTGAATAAGCTTGCATTTTTCCTAATTTAAACGTCAATTTATAATATTTTGTCTATTTGCGACTACATTTTATATGTGCATATCAAAAAATTATCAGAACAAATTGTTTACCAGATTTACTCAATTGCATATAATTAAGTAAGAGAGCCAAAAAATCTCCAATATACTTTCCTATTTTTTTTTTTTTTTATTATTTTTTTTGCTTTTTTATCATTACATTTATTTTATTACAGCAATTGCCTTACATTATTTTACAAATAGAAAGTAAAAATGGTGAATATAATTATAGTTTTAACTGGATTTTTGTGGAATTTTATTTTATTTTCCTAAAATAAATTTTAGCCATTCCAAAAAAAAAAAATTTTATTTTTAATTATTATTACATATTAAATTTGAAAGCGTATTTTATTTAAATTTACTTCTAAGTAAAAAAGATTCATCTATGAAAATAAAAATATAAAAGTACAAAATTTTTATTTTCGAAAATATCGAAAATTTATTTTAGTTTTCTCTAAATAGCTAATTGCTTTAAATAATATTTTTTTTTTAAATTTTAATTACATTACCATTTAGTTTTTTTGTTGACTTATATGTATAATCCTTTGCCTCGAATAGAGCCGATAAAACTGTGTATAACATATGGCATTTTTTTTATGTTTTGATATATTTTAAATAAAAAATTTGTAATAACAATTTAAAGTTATAAAATTTTATTATTCTCTATATAAAATTGTGTTTGAGTAAGAAATACGATTGCTTAGTATTAAAAACGGGCTTGAATTAGAGCGTAAATAGTCGTCAACTTAAGAATTTTTCTTACACCATGGTTTTTCAATAAATAGTTTTACCGTTATTAGAAATATTTTCATGTTAACCTAATTTTCATGACAGTATTCTAATTGGAGTTTTGTTTTAGTAATAATGTGAGTTAAAAATGTTACTAGTTTGCACATTATAACTTTTGTCAACTAAATTTTGAATGAACTTAATTCTCAAATCTTCTTTGATTGGAAAGAACAAGGATCATAACTCAAAAGACATGAAATTTCACTAGAAAGGTTTAAAGAATTTAATGAATAAACAGGGTTTGATAATATTAACAGCTGGAATTTTTCATATTGTACGAATTTATTGTAAAAATATATACGAGTATCTATAGATTCTAAAATTCTACTGTCGATTCTTATATCATCATTTGAAATTTATTTTGATAAAATTGTACGTCAATTCTTCATCAATATAGTCATTATTCGTGACAATTTTGAACACTAAAATAATTGCACGTTAACAAATAAACTGTTATTCTAGAGACTCTATAATAGAATCTTGTAAAAAAAGAATTCATTCTGTTATATTGGAAAAAAATAAAATGCTAAAGGCGTATTGTCAGCTATTTTAGAAGAGAAAATTATAAAATTTTCAACTTTCTCATTCTCATGATTTTAAATAACTCAGAAATCTCTTCCTTTTTTGACTCGCGTTGTTGAAATATTTTTGTACTTGCTAAGGTTACATTAAAATTCTACTATCGAGTCTTATGTCATCATTTGAAATTTATTTTCATAAAAGTGTACGCCAATTCTTCCTCAATATAGTCATTATTCGTGACAATTTTGAATACTAAAATAATTTAAGATTTGAAAAAAAAAAAAATAAAATAAAATTGCATACTTTCAGGAAACACATTTTATTTTACTTGTGTTATTTTCTTTAATCTTTTATTATTAAAGCGCTTAGGTGAACCTGATTTATTAAAGTATTAAAAATAAATGTAGGCACTTTGAAAGAAATGAAGGAAAAAATGATTTGTCATCATTATATAGGAGTTTTTAATTTTGTCCATTGTCATTTTCATGGAAATTATTTTAAATTTTATAGGAAAGTTAATTTAAGTTTGTCTTGCCATGGTTTTTTTTTTTTTCTTTAAATGCATTAGCGTACAATTCATAAATATCTTTTTCTTTTAGCATTTATGTATTAAATGCTAACATACAACTGGATATATATGTACATATGTCCTTTTATAATTTTAACCTTTAAATATTTTAAGGACAATAACGAATACAAAATTATATTTTAAAATTATATGCTTTCGATATACAAGAATACATACATAAAATTGCACCTTGAAGTGCACTTGAAATAGAATTTTTTTTTTGTTTTTTTGTTAAATATACACTTGTGTATATATATTTGTATAATGAATATGTACATGATTGTATGTACCTATATAATTTCCTTATTTGAAAATTATTATTTGAAAATAACAATGTGTTCTTAAAATAAAACTTGAAAATAAATGAAAAAAAAAAAATCAAAAACGGAAAACAATACTGAATCACTGAAAAGTTTATGTAATAAAATTTACCACAAAATATTGTAAATATGTATACATTTATGTTATTCATCAGATAATGTTACGCTTTATAGGCATTATATAACATGAACATATAGTCATAATTATTACTTATACGATGTTCATTAAAATTTGATTTATGTTAGTTCGTAAAATTGTAACTAATAGTTTTATAATAGTTAAAAATTTCAAATTTACAAATATTATGCTTGAAGAGTTTTAAATTACATATAACATATATAAGGATTTATTTACAATTTAAATTTGGAGGATAAGAATGGAGGATGTCTTTGAACAAACGATCTATGTTCAACAAATCAAAAAATTTAAAATTATTTTACACTTTATATTTAGTTAAATTTATACTAATTTTATAGGGAAATTGTAATTTTAGCATATTTTAGTAAAAGTTATTCGTATTTTACGAATTTCGTGTTGTACGAGTACGTATTTACCACTTTGGTTGTAACACTTAGAAAAAATAATTCTGAAATAACTCAAATATCAATTGAACTAAAACAAACGGAATCATAAGAAATGGTTTTTAATAGAAAATGAAAGAGTCTTTTTAATTTTAGTTTAATAGAGACCAATTATTCTATTTCTGTAATTAAAATTTGTGCCATTACTTCCATTTTTTATATTAACATTAAAAATAATTATATCAAATATTGCTGGTTAACAAGATTACAAGATCGAATAATTAAGATCGAATCGCTTACGAATAGTTTTTAACTTTTATAAATATAGAGTACATATATAGCAAAAATGTTTACATTGTTATTAATATGATAGTCTAATGAACATGCTTTAGACAAGGTATAAAATATTTTAAAAGAATACTGGAGCATTCAATTTCACAAATAATTGACTTAATTGAAAAGGTAAACATTTATGTTATATATACAAAATTATAATTAATATTATATAATTTATAAAAAAAAATTTATATAATTGTTTTTTCTTACATACCTGCTATTTTAGAATTTAAAAAATATGGATCTGGTTGCCATAAATTATCAAAAAATTCTGGAGGAAGTGTAACATAATCATCACCTTCTTCAAATATATCATCAGGGAGTTTTAATCTATTTTCAATCCATCGTTGATGTACAAACATATCTACCCTATTTTATTTAAAAAAATATATGTATATATATATATATATATATATATATATATATAATAAAAAATTCATTAATATACGTGTATATTTAAAATTATTTTAATTGTGAAATTTTTATAATTGATTTAAATAATTTGACACAACGGAATACAGTGAAATTCTTTTATTTGTGAACAGTTTACAAATTATACAGTTTTAGTCAATAAGTAAAATGTGTTAATAACCTCATTCTGTATTTTACTCTTTATTCCCACTTTAAAATTAAAAATTTTAATTTTTTAGTTAAACAACTTCAACGTAGCGACTTAACTAGTCACCTTTTAAAGTGACTGAATAATAGCTAAATTTTATAAATTTTTCAAAAATTGAAGACCATGAAAAGTAAGTACATGATACGAAGAAAGTGTTCTCTTTTTGATATAAATAGATTTATGTTGCTGTAAGATATTCAAACTTTTTCCCCTCAGCCAGCAACGTGAGGTAAAAATTAAAATACAGAATGAGCATTATATGAGAATATATAAATTACTAAAATTTAGAAATCATAATATGTACAGCTTTTGAATAACTTAGAATTTCTGAAATTTTTGTTAACAACCATTTACATACAAATGGTTCATATTAAAATATACTAAATTGTATAAATAAATTTCACTGTATTTTCCTTAATATTAAAAAAATTTACCTAAAATCCATATCTTCTACGTTAATTGAATTAATATCTACTACAAATATACTTAAATCTACTATCACTGGTGAACGATTTTTCGAAGGCGGACGAATCTCTTAAATTGAAAAAACAAATAAAAAAAAAAATATATTTTTTTTTACATTGTTATTATTTTGTTTAACATTATAAGCAAATTTTTATTAGTATGTATACAATGTTGTAATACTATGAGAATGCTACTTCTATCAATACAATATACAAAGATGTTTATTATTATTGTTTATAGATATTTATTATAGGAGTATTATGTATATTATATACACAGATATGTATTTAGGTTAAAGGCATAAATTAATTAAAATTTAATGTCATTTCGTATATCATAAAAAATTAAATACATATACATATATATATATGTATTTGTATATGAATATATTATATAGTTAATTATTAGTTATAAATTTATAGAAAAATTTTATTGTATAAGTTTTTGGAGATAAATCTCTTCTTGCTTAACAAATTCTAATCAAATCAATGGCAGTGAATGGTCGAAAAGTAGTGAATTTTAAAGTGAAATTTTTTTTTCAAAAAATAGTCCGAATAATTTGTTGTTATATTAGTGCTGCTTTCTTAATACCCATTTATGTAATATTTATTGCATATATTACGGGGAAAATAAAAATAAAAAGAAACCGCAATTTAATTGAAGAAGCTTGAACAAATCGATGGAATTATGTGAATAAATGGATCATTTAAAATATAAATTTAAATATTTTTTAATGAGAAGACATTGAAGATTTTTTAAAGAGCAACGTTGTTTCCGATTTCCTTTAATAGAAACATATTGAAATTTCAAAGTACCGAAACTGAGTAAAGGAAATTTTGCTAATTCAAAAGGAATGGTAAAAAAAAATTTCTTCTGACGATACGAAGTATTTATCAGTGTCCTATGCTAATAAATCAGTCTACTAAATCATATATGTATATTATTTAAGAGTTACTGAATTTAACACATTTTATATTATTAAAGAGTTACTGAAGTTTACTGAAGAAACTAATACTTTAGTTATTATTTATAACATTGCAAGTGTAAAGTTTTCAATAAAAAAAAAACTCGTTTTTCCTAAATTTCTTCTTAATGTTCAATTTTATCTCATGCCATAATATAAAGGTTTCTAACGCCTCAATTATTCATATAGCAACATATATTTTCACAACTTTTATATTTGTATACAACCGGTTGATTATATTGTTATATTTTATCAGTATTTACTTAAGAATTTTGATGTGTTAAATATGTAGCTTATATTTTGAATGCAGTTTTCAAGTGATTGCTGAATGTGTTAATTTATTCATCAAACGTGTGTTTTATAAGTATTTACTTTGTAAGAGAAATTAAAATGAGTTGAAATTATTGTTTCTGTTTAATTTTTAAAAGCAATCTATATAGATTTGTGTACAAGTATAACCTATATAGTTCTGCAATTTTAAAATTTAATATCAAAAAGTGTTATAAAAAAAAACACTGAGTAATTTACAATATGACATCATTTTATTAATTATTTAAATAATATTATATATGTATATATGTATATAGAAAATATTAATATTAATATAAATATTTTCAAACTGCTCGATTTGAAATCTTTTCCAACATATTTTAAGCGCTTATTATTTCATAAAGAAATATAATAGAAAACTACATTAATACATACATATACATATTTTATATAACAAATTAAAATAATAAAATAAAAATTTTACAAATGAAACACGTGTCTTAATATACAACAAACAAAATATTTTATGTTTATAGGTTATGTATACAAAATAAAAGAAAATTTTCCAACATTCAAGAAAAATTTATATTTAGTGTAAGTAAATATGCTTTATCATACTTGATTTTTATCATGCTTATTATCTTTGTGTTTAGCAATAAAACAAAATTGTCAGACATTGATTAAAAATTTACTGAAATAAAAGAAAAATTTTATATAAAAATTTCGGAAGAGAAGGAAAATTAGTTCAAAGTTTTACTGCTTTGTATTACTTTTTTCTTTCCGTTTAAAAAGAATATCGTATTAAAGTATATATACTGAATCTACACACGTAACGTATATTTAAATGAAGGTAGTGAAGTATTGCAGTAAATTTGCCATTTACAAAAGACTTTGTTATTCTTCATTCTCATTCCTTCAATTTTTAATAATTTTTTTAAAAGTAATATTAGCATGAAATTGAATTTTGCATTTACGATTGTAATATCAATCTTAAAAAAAAAAAATTTACATTAAAAATTAAGACTAACTATGCTAATATTTCATTTTCATTAACATTATTTATGATTAATTTCATTTGGGTTTTTTTTTTTTTGATCGCTTGAGATTATGTCAAAATTAGAGAATTTTTATTAAAATTTACGAATCTATAAAACAATCATTACTGCCAGTAATAATAGTGCCATGGCAGTTAATTAAAAAAATGAAAGTTTTTCTTAATTTGTTTAGATCTAGTTCTATTTGTGTAAATTACTGTTATTTTTTAATGACATTTTGCATTTTGACAGAAATATACTTATATATGTATACATACATATATACACCGTTGAATTGAAGTACATAATTATATTCTGCATTTAAATTTTACATAAATTAAAATATTTATTAAAACATCAGAATTTATTAATTAATATTTTAATTCTATATGCCAGTTATCACTCTATTCACTCTACAAAGTTGACAAGTTAAACTTATAATTGTTCATTATACTTTCTCTTTAAAAATTATACACACACATATACACTCATATATGTATTTAAGTAAATAAAAATATTAAAAAAGAATTATAAGTAAAAAAAAATAAACATGAAAATTGCATTGAAGGTTTTTACTTTAAAATTTCTTGGTTGTTATTTTAATAGGTTTGTTTTTGTGCGGTTGATTATTACTGCATTAGCCTAAACGAAATGTATGACGTCAAACAAGGCATAGAAAAGGTATATACTTATATGATTTTGTTTTCTTACTTTATTTTCTCATTTTTTTTTCCGTTTGTTCTATATGTTTTTTTATTCTACTATTTTATGATTTTTAACATTTTCTTTATCATTTTTTTTTCTGTTTTCTTTTTGATAGTTTGTTTTTTTTGTAGTAAAACACGCAATATTCGTCCTACAAAAGAGGTATTGCCCTTACTTATTGCGCCTCAACAAACTTGACTGACATTTTATTTTAGTTTTTAAAGTATAAATCTTATATTATTTTCTAGATTTTGAAAAGGAAAATTTACAAAAAGAAAAATAAAATAAAATCTCACAAATCTAAATTAGCGTTATGAATCAAGGAATAGAGAGAAATAATAAAACTATAATATTTTAATTGAAAATGTTAATGGGAATACAGAATAAATTTTTATTATGAATAATCGGCAATTAGCATTGTAACTTAGTTTCTAATACACAGATTATAGAGATTGGTTTTCTTAGCCCAATAGATCAATTATAGAGTGTAATTATTATTATTTAATATCTAATTTATTTATTTAATAATTAAAGAGTATTATTTTCATTATATAGAAAGCGCTATCTCAAAATCTTGATTACACGCGGTGTGCCTTGGTTTTGCGCTAAAATATTGAAAAAATGATGGAATAAGTCTAAAATATTTATAACATTTTAGCTTCGCAAATCATTAATATAAAAATCTTTACTTCCGGTAATATCATTTTTCGATATTTCCATTATTTTGAAAATAGGTGAGGCCCTATTGTGTGCCTACGTGTACACGTGAAAAGTAAGAATATAAGTATATACTCTTTAAGAGTAAATATTACATATACAATAATATTTTTTTGAGAAAAATACTGACTTGAATGATATGAAAAATTTCATTAATTTTTGCAATGATGGGGATGAATGACTACATTTCTATAATGGATTGTGGTAACATATTAAATAATTTTATATATCATATACATACCCTTGACATAATTTTCGGGAAGAACCACTCGTGGTCGTATTGTATAATTCTTAGCTGACTCTGCTTCCTTTGTAGTCCTGTAAATACATAATTAAAGAAAGAATTAAGAATTAAAAATATTTTTGCATGAAATCGCAGTTTATTAATTTATAATATGCGTGCATATATGTTGAATAAGAACCATTATACAAGAGATGTAGAAAAAATGGGGAAATAGTTTGAACAAAATTTTTGAATTTCATTGAATGAAATCAAATCATATTCAAAATCGAAATTGTATGAATGTATTTTTTTTCCTTGGTCTTTTCTATTTTGCTTGATTCAAAAATTTTACCGTATTTTATTGTACACGCATTTCATTCGGAAAGCAAAAGATAGCTAGGGTGCCAATTGTATGATCTTCAATTTTAACATATTAATTGTTCATTAATAAATAAAAATAACATAGGCTCTTGAAAATATTCTAAAAATTTAAGTTTTTCTTTAAATACGATTAAGTGTAACAATCATTAAGAACTCCTTCAAAAATTTCTTAGCAATATTATTTTAAACTCTGTGAAAAATAAAAACGCTACAGACAATTGGTTCATTTAAAAGGCAATAAAAGATTTCACTTGCAGTTACTTTTACTTTTGGTTGAGCTTGTCTGACTGACAAACATACTTTGAATAAATGAAAATATAAAGCTTACATAAACCTCAGATTTACCTTTTGTAGTCAGTGCAGAAAATGAACAAAAAACCATACTTACATTGACTCCTTAAATTTTTTTATACCATTTTTAGAAATACATCGCACATCTTGTAATATTTTGGGGAAGCTTCAAAATCATAAACATTTTTTGTACTGATTTTTTGTGAACTGAGCTATGGTTTATTTTTTGTGTTATATAACCATGATCAATTGCTTGCACCATTCTAATACAAGAAACAGTCGGGTTTTGTATTCTATTGTTAAAATTCTTGAATTTTTGTCATTTTGATGATTTTGATTCAAAATTTTTCAAGAGATTTTTCATTTGTATTTCTCTATTCTAGATCTCAGCTTAATCATCTATTTATTTACATTCATATGTACATATTGTATGTGTACTTATTTATTTCCGCTTTTTCTTATATGATTTAAAAAATGTATTACAATTTGGTATGAAAAGAAAAAATGTAAAGGAAAATTTTAAAATATGAAATTGAAAGAGCAAAAAGCCTACGTTGATTAAAAAAAAAATAATTTTATATTTTTTTCAAATTAATTTAGTAGACTCCCTTTAACAGTACGAACAGAGCTGCCAGGACTACATTTTTATTTCGTGTTGATTTGTGTGTTTTTATCGAAAATTTCATAAACCTTAGAAAAATTCTAAGAGTAGAAATGAATTATGAAAAATACCCCTAGTTATAATGTTGCAATCTAAAACTGAACTTTAGATTAAACTTCACATTGAAATATTAGGACTATTTCTACATAATGTCCATATACAGTAACTTTATAAATTTGTAGTAAATATTTTAATAAAAAAATATTTAATTTAAAAAATATACTGTTGTGATGCTTAAATTGAAAAAACATAAATGTAGAGTAAAAAATATAATAAATTCCAAATTCCATATATATTCTGGATCCAAAAAATAGTGAATGCCAAAAAACAGTAAGACTTATAAATAAGTATGGTTATGTTAACCATGAAATTAAATAAAAATTTGTCGACTTGTTACGTCCAAATATTTTCTCTTCATGCTGATACGAGTATCTCCAATTTCATTTATTTCAATGCTTTTATTTTTAAATTTTGTTATATATGAGATAACAAAGAAAAAAATCAAAAAAAAAAAAACAAAAAAGAAATTTCCAACACTTTTAACATATTTTATTTTTTCGACTTATATAGTAGTGAAAATAACAAAATAAGACCGGAAATAAAATTTTCAATGTCAAATGAATATATGTACAAAAATTTTAACTTTGTTTTTCTTGTTTTAGTTTGAAAATTATCCAAAATAAAAGAAACTATCATTTTGCGTCTTGCGATAAAAACTATCACCTTATATACCGTTATTTTCTATTGTGTAATATAAAACAGGTATAGCAAAACTCACAGGACAATGGGCCGGGTCAAAAAGTAGAAAAATTGCACGAGCGTAAGATAATGTGACGTGAAAGGAAAATGTGAATGGCGAGTTCAAAAGTAAATTTTAAACTTAGCAAAGTCGGGATTTTTTACATTATCTTTAACAAAGCATTTAAAAACAAAAAATTTTGTTCTTTATTAGCTTTTCGAAAAGCAAACTTTTAAAAAGAAAAATTGAAAATTTATCCTAAATCGATTTAAATAATAATAATATTTTGAATATTAGAGCTAGAGGGCCAAAATTTAAAAATAATTTCGAAAATTTGTATACCATTTGCGTAAGAGAACTATGGGCCTTAAGTTTTACATACCTGATATAGCCGTTTCTTTTTTCATATAAATTAATAGTTTGCAAATAAATCCTAATGAAATAAGGACTTAAAAAATAAACAAATTTTATTGGTGTGCAATATACAATGGTATAGTGCAGTATTTAAAGATAATTTTATGTTCAATTTTAAATGAATTTTCATTGCATTTTTGTATAAGTATGGTGCGTTGCTGAAAATATACTTTATTATTATAATTGAAAACCACAATTAATTTAAAATGACAATGTATAGTAATTAAATTGTAGATTGTAATATGGAAAATTAGTAGAATAAAGAAAATATTCTAGTTATAATAATAAAAAAATTTTGCAGTATCTAGTACTAGAATTCTTAAGCACCTTCCTCATTAAAATAATTTTTTTAAGTATTATAATCATTTAAAATGCAGTAATTAGGAACATGGGTAATATTAAATTACAATAATAAATAATTATTAAAACTAAAGTAAAATTTTAAAATTTATTAAAATTAATGGATTACTTAAAAAATTACCTAATGAATTCTTCCAAAAAGTTTAATTTCATGAATTTTTTTATGTATAATAGTTATAATTTTTATTTTTAAAATATTTACTTTAAAATTTCATTGTTATACTAGAGAAAATTCATTAATACCTATAGTTAAAGGAATGAATATGAATTTCAATGTTAAAATAGTGAAAGACATAGTTTTTTTGTACACATAATATTCGTTTACAGACTTTAATTAATGGGTCCATATATTTTCCATAGTAATCAACTTCCTTTCTCCATTATATCCTGTTATTATATTGAAGTGTTTATTTAATATAGACTATTTTTTTATTTTCCCGGAAGACAAAAAAAAAAATTCAAGAACAAGCAAAAATTCGAAACGCATTGTATAAATACCACCTCTATATATTAAAGTATATTGTACACCTAATTACTTATATATTAATGTACTCAATATATTATATATGTACACATAATACGAATATACAGTTTTAATCAGCTTTTAAAACTTTATTCTCAAGTTCGAAGTAAGAAAAAAAAAATAATTTGGTGATATTTTCAAAAATAAAAATATTGCTAGTTGAAAATATAATTGTTTCCTGCTTTTACTTTTTGCTTTTTTTTTCCAGGTTTCATAATATTTTTTCCAATTTTTCATTATACATATATATTCTATTCGACTACAAAATATATAATATAAAACTATTCATTTTCCACAAAAATTTTCCATCTTAATTGTTGTATTTTCTATTTGGTAATAGCGCCACATTGGTAATACTAAAAATGGAAAGAATGGGGGGGGGGGGGGGGGGGGGAGGAGACTTTCTAAATAAATTTACGGTAATAAAAATTTTCTATTTTACTATTTTCGTTTTGTGTTTTCTCTTATAATTTTCCTTCAAATTATATTATAAAAAAATACCGAAACAAAAAAAAAAAAATTAAAAAAAATTATTGTTGACCTTGAGCGAATCCTTTAAAATTGTATAGTCAATTTAAATGCATTATGAAAATTAAGTAAAATTTGTACATGTATCTATGTATATATATATGATGTGTATTATGTTATTATTATAAATTAAGGTTGCCAAATATCAACCCAAGTAATTATATTTAAATATCGCAATTCAAGAATTAATAATATTGTTATACTTTAGTTAAATCATTAATGATTTGGAAAATTTCTAAATAAAAATTATTATCAAATGAAAATGTACAAAATAGGAGGGTAAAATAGAGAGAAAAAAAAAATTCTTATTTAAATATTAAAGGTTATTATGCCACCTGCTAATCAAAAATAAAATGTTAATTGTGTTATTATAGACTTTTTTTTTCAAAATTTTGGACACAAATAATAAAATCTATATATAAAAAAAAAGAATAATATTAGTATAGGTACATCAAATGTATAATTATTACAATTAACCACTTGAATTTTGTTTTTAAACAGAACCACACCTGGATAATAAAATTTTATAGTATAATTGTATTTGTGAGTTGTAAAATAATTTTACGTTTAAAGGAGTTTTGAAAATTTTTAAGTTAAAATTATGTTGCACAACATAAAATGTATATATAGATATTAAAATATTGAAATTATGGTAAATGTTACAGTTAGCTTTGTCAACCAATTACAGATCATTGTCCAATCAATATTACGTAAATTACGCGTGCATAATATATTCATTTTAATGCGTGAAACATGTTCGTTTTATGGTCAATTTCTCATTTATGATTTGATATACATATATATAACAATACTTATTTAGAATATCGAAACATTCATATGAACATATTATGATATTTGTATAAATAAAACTGAAGTTATTTAATAGAATGGTCAAAATATGATGCTTTGTAATAAATATGACAGTTTTTGACCATATAGCACAATTTGAAAATCATAAAAATTAAATAAATTTTAGCTTTTGATAATAATAAGATAAAGCTAAACGAAAATAAATCTGTAATTATGTAAATTTCATAAACGGGAATTAAGTAGCCTACCACAAATAAACTGGTGATAGAGCATCGATTCAAAAAACAGCAAAATACCTATAGTAATGATTTTGGATGCTAAGATAGGAATGATTTCGATGTCAAAAATATATTAGAGAAAACTATTATCTCCTAGATCTTTTGTCTGAGTTTGCAACATACAACCAAGAGTCGAACTACATAAATCAACAAATAATAAAACCTATATAGATATATATGGTATAGAGATGGCGCTGTTCCAAGCAATAATATTTACCAAAAAATACAGACTTTCCAGAATAAGGTACTTCGTAACATGATGGAGGCCCTTTCTTATGTATATGCAATAGTGGCATTCTGAGGGATTTTGGTGTCCCCGAAGTAAGTGAAATGACAAACTGTACCATGAAGCATAGGATCTTTTTGAAATACCATTTGAATATTGAGACCTCTTAATTTATAGAAAAGATGGTTAGGATAAGAAATTAAAAAAAAACTTCTTGATTTAGCCTAAAGTACTGATACGGCATTTCAGTGCTTTCTTTAATTGAATAAAGACACCAAAACCCGATAGAACAAAACTAATGGTTAGTCAATTTAAAGTTATTGGAGTTATGACTATTCAGATGAGTTTTATATTGTCTTTAAGTCTCTTACGGTCTATCTTTGCCTCTCCGTAATTTTTATCACCTGTTTTAAAAAAAAAAAAAAAGAACAATGCGTTCACACAATTTTCTCATCCCTATACTATTATTTGTAAGAATAGTCGATGCTTTCCAGAATCGCCATTTTTATTTGTGTGGGTGATTAAAACATGACATAGCTCATGAAATTTTCGTTTCATTCATAATTAATTTTAATTTTATTAATTATAAAAATAAATTTATAATAAAATCATTAATTAAAAATAAACTCACCAAAAACATATAAATCCCAATCCTACTGTTAAATATAAATGAGCTTTATCCAACATTATGTGTTTTGTTGTCTTTGATTTTTTTTTTTAATTTTTAATTCAACTTCTCTTTCTTTTTTGGATAAACAATATGTTTTTGTTGTTTTTGTAATTATTCGTTTCTGCAAAATGTTTACAGAATTTAATATTCTGTTTTCTTTTATACGTTTTGAGAGTTTTTTTTTTTTCTCCTCTCTCTTTTTTTCAGTTTCGTTTTTGTTTTTTAGAAATTTAAAAAAAAAATAACTCTATTTTAATCTAAATTTAGTTTTCATTTCATTAAATTAATTAAAATGACAAAAAAAAAACGTAATTGTTCTACACTCTAATCAGCAGATGATATTTATAATAATTTTTATTATAATTTTTAATAATTAAATTAATATTGAATATTTTTGAAAATATAAAAGTTTTAACAATTTTTAATTTTTCAAAAAATACCATATTATTAACTTTTATTTTTATTTTATTTGTTTTTTTGTTTGTATTTTTAATTTTTATATAATTATATAAATATTTTTATTGTAATATTATTTGTTTTTTTTTTGTGTATTTGTATTTAATTGTATATTATATTTTTGTTTTTATATAATTTAATTTAAGGCACAATTTTGTATAAGATTGGAATATAAAATTTATTTTTTAATTATTTAATTTTATTATTTATTTATTATCGTTTCAATATAACAATTATATATTATGTAATAAGATTCAGTTAAATTAACTTTTGCTGCATATTTTTATTTTTTTTTTTTAAGTTTTGCTTTTTTAAATAAATATTATGGATTTTTGTAAAATATATAAGTATAATTTAGTGTGATTTTCTATATATAATTAAATAATTTTTAATTATTATTTTTTTCCTTTTCTTTATTATATTATAATTATAATGTCATATAATTATTAAGTAATTTGATTATTATTATTATTATTATATATAATAATATATAATATGTTGTATTATAGGAATCAAAGGATTAAAATATTTTAAAGAAATTTTTTACACAACATAATTTTTTATCACCCGAGAATTCCGTGTAATTAATTTTGCGCTATAGTGAAAATTCAGTTTTAGTTTTTCTTTATTCTTTTTACTTTTTTTTTTCATTTACTTAATTTGTTTTATTATTTTCATTTATTTTTATGGTATTTATTCATTTATTTATAATAATAAAACATATACATACGATACCTATTTAAAGAAAATTTTAAATGAAAATAAAAGAGATCTGGAATAGAAAAATGATTAAATTTATTAATAAAATTAATACATAATATTTTTATTAAAAATAATGTCTCATATCATTTGACTGGAGTTTCGAGAGTCGACGGTATTCAAGAAGTAGGGAGAAAGAATGAACCCAGAGTATAAAAAAAAAATATTAAAAAATATTCTCTTGTGAGTACCATTCTCAAGTTATTGTGTCTCAAATTTGGTCTTTTTTTTTAACATTTTTTCCATTCTTGTTTTCATTTCAAACTCACCATTTTGGAAATACCACTGAATGTTCGACACCTTTTCAAAAATAATTCGAAATTTTTATATGAAAATATTTTTATATCTTAAGTTAAATAGCGTAGAAAATTCAGCTTTGTGAGTGATTTAAAATTTTATTTAAATTTATTTTATTTATTTATTATAAACATTTTTTTTTCATTTAACAATTTTTAAACAAATAAATTCACTTATATTAATTTATATCTTGAATTTTATCTGTTGAGAATCTTTTATAAAAAGAAAACGTATAACAAAAGATAAAACAATTTTTTAGCATGTTTTCAATTAAAATTTATACAATTTTACATAATAATTTTTGCACTTTCCACAAATTTATTTCACATGAAAATTGAATAACATGAAATTAACAAATAATTTTAAATATTTTCTATTATCACAATTTTAACTATCATCTTTTAAAAACTCTTATATAGGCAACTGAGAAAATAAATCTCAGTTGGATATTCCTGATTTACAAAAAATAATAAAAACTGGATTTTGTTTAAGCTAAGATCAACAAGTGAAATACTTTATTTTCATATGTTTTGTAACAAAAATATTGTTCCCTTTAGTTAAAATATAAAAAAAACAAAAGCATACGTATACAAACATGTACATATGTACATATAATATGTATGTATGAATATAAACAAAAGGTGCAATAATAGTTGAAATTTTATATTAAAAAAAGATTTAAAAATCAGTAAAAAATTTTAATCGTAATTGTAGTAAAATATGAGAGTGTAAAAGTCTTTAAGTATATAAGGCACTTTTCAATTACAGCTTATTTTGTTTTGTAAATGTTCATATTCTATAAATATAGATATGTATATATAATAAATTGTACATAAATATATTATTAATTTTGTTTGACTATATAATTTAGACCGGCGACGGCACTTTGAAAACTATTAATTAATTTCAATTTTTATTACATAATTTAGTTTTAATCATTTGGATTTACATATATTGGGATTTAAATAACTATAAAATATTGAATTTGTAAAACAGAAATTTAAATATTATATTTATGAATGTAGTACCAAGAGTGTATATCTCATATTTGACTATATGTTATATACAATTAACAAATATGTACCAAAGTGTAATAAAATTTTAACAAAATCCATTTGAAATTAAGAATTCATTGAAAAAGGAGGCAAAATAAATAATAATTGAAAATATAACAAAATAAAATTAATTTATAACAAAATAATTAAATAATATAAAATTTATATTAAATTCTACTCTTCATTATACTTTATAATTTTAATTATTACTAAATTCCTTTTTTAAATTAATTTTAGGTGGCTTGGACAGACCATTGTATATTTCTACTCCACAATATAAAGTTGTAGAAGATTCAAAATATGTTCTTCTTTTTCTGTCTAAATGTATAATATTTTTGTTTCTAACACTAAAACCATGAAGATCTTGCCTTTAAGTGTTAAATGCAGTTGTACTGGGTATGTTAGAGAGTATCATATCATGAATATGCAGAATCAACTTTAGATTAACAAAATCTATGACCAAACGAATTTGTTTTTCTTTATGAATATGTTCAGTGCTCTCACGCTAACCATAATTATATAATACTTTTAATGATTTATTCTGAATTACTTGCAATTCATTATTTGATTAGTTGCTACACAGCAGAAATTAATATTGTAGCTAAGGTGACTATGAAAAAGTGCATAGTAGATGACACTTTTTGGCAATAAAAACGTGATTAAGTGTATTGTGGAAAAATAATGAATTTGTCATTATAATATTGTGAATTTCTACAAAAAGAAAAGACTTTTATTTATATGTACTTATAACCATAAGTACCAAGTTAAATTCAATTCAGTGAGTATACATACGAGTAATAGTGTTCGTTTTGTAAATATGAAGAAAATTTCCAATTTCTAATCTGCTTCCATACTTTTACATATTTTAATTTCATTTATCCTTTTAATATTCTTGATTTTGAAAACAATTAAAGTTGCCAAATACATAAATATTTTCTTTTCATTAAAATAATTTAATTTAAATAAACTTGATTAAAAAAAAGATAAAAGTTTCAAGATAAAAGTAGATACGTAAACATTTAAAAAATATTGAAAAAAATTATTTTCAATAATAGTTATAGAAACATTTTATGTATAACAAATATTTTATATTAACCTTGAATTTAAACAAAATTAATGATATAGATATAGGTCATACATACATACACACATATATATATATAAATAAATAGGTATACATTGAATATTTTATTAAACTGCACAAAATTAAAATTAAAATTAATAACTATACTTATCCAACAATTGCCAATTATTTAAAATTTCTTAGAATTTTTGTTATAATTTCTTAAAATATTTGGCAACTTTTAGGATTAATTTTTTGTGTGGTGGTATAGAAAACTACATATTTGTACAATATATGTTTGGCGTCAAAATTAAATATTCTCGTATACATGTGAGATTTTTATTCACATAGAAGCTTCATATTATTTTTAATTTTTGGAATTAATTTTTTTTTTGTTTTAATGAGATTTTTTATTATATGGCATTATAAAAATTGCATCTCTAATATTCTATAATAATCAAAGTTTTAAAGGATAATTTTTACATTTTTTTAAAATTTGTATGTAAATACGATATTTTGAAAAATAATTTACATAATTTAAATTAAAAATATATTTACAGCTCATTTCGTATTCTTTATACATAAATACATAGTAGCATTTAAATTTTTAATATATTAATGCGGTTTTTAAAAGAAATTTTTTTTCGAAATAATTTAAAAGTATGCCAAAAGTGTTCCCATATTGCCAATTTTGTCTGATTTTTCAGATTTTCAAAAGGTTAGTGAGATGACCAGGTATATTTTTTTTTAAATTTTTGAAAATTTAATTGTAATAAGAATAGTTTTTGATAAACTTAATCCACTTATATTAAGAGTTTCTAAAACTGAAGTGATTAATGTTTTTGTTCTTTTAAACATTTATTGATTAAATAGCAATAAAGTATATGACAATAAAAATGTGCCTAAATTAAATAAAAAAGCCTGATTTTTTTGCCATTTATTTTTCAGATTTTTTTTGCGAAATTTTCCTAAATTTTCTATGAAATCAATATGGTAACACTGTATGTCAATAATGCATAATTTGTTTTGTTAACAAAAAATGGATGAAATTTAAAAACAAAATATGTTCCATATGTTGTCAAATTTACTGCTTTCTTTCTCTCTTTGGTTTATTCGATTCAATTAATCATCTCTTATAATTATAAAATAATCTTATACTCTTTTTAATGCCAAAAATTACAAATACTCAGAGAGATCGTTATATTTCTAGCTGAAAGCTAAATTTCTTATAATTTTTACTTCTACTATTAAAAATATATTCATAATATAAACACATATATATATATATAACCATATTGTGCGCGAATACACATCCTCATTAGAAATTCTAAATTCAGTTTATTTTCTTAAATTTTTTTTTTTGTTGTAATTGTTTTTATTGTATTCTATCATACATTTTATAGGTAATAAATGTTTATACATATATATATTATGTACATGCAAATATTTTACACTTTGGCTGCTCGAAAGTAATTATATAAATGTAAATATGTCTACAGTTATGTGTACAATTCATTCATACAATATTTTCCATATATGCATGAAAAAGTAAGAAAAATTCCGAGTATGTTTTTTTCTCTTTTAATTCATAAATTTTTATTTATTTATTTTTTTTTTAAGTTTTTCTTCTAAAAATTCTTTTATAAAAAAAAAAAAATTAAGATATGTCTACAATGAAGTGATGTGAGAGATTATATATCTC